CACTTGAGTAATTATAAAACTTATAACACGTCAAAATAAGTCATTATTATGATCATGACATGGATGATAAAAGTTTGGTCACCCATAACAAACTGGTATTTACAACTTTTGATTTTAGGGCTGCCCATAACGCAGTTCCTTGAGTTGACAGACTTATCCCTGTTAAATTTACCATTCACTTCAACTTACCATTGGTTATGCTCTCCGTAGCATCGTAATGGCCTGCCCCAAAATAATGGTAAGCAATATAGATTGGGGTGTTACTCAAAGGATTATCGCAGTTGAAGGGCAAAAAAGGAACTGTTTCAGAAGACGTTATCACCATAATTGGAACTTGCAAGATATTTGAACACAGTCTTATTACAAAGTCGCCAATTTCTTGATCAAAAAAACCTCTTACGCTAAACTCGCGGGCTTTCCTTTCAACATCTGCCTGGGAACCTTCGACGAAGTTTGAGATGCTGCAGTCGTCAGCTAAAACTGCATCTACAAATAGTTGTCGAAGAGTGTACGTATCCAGGTCTTCAGTATTTAAGAGTCCTAGACGCCTCAGGTGCTTTGATAATTGACCTGCCTCATTGTGGACAAGTTTTCTTACTTGTCTCATTATTGTTATTACGGAAGGCGCAGTCCCCATCAGATTGGACTCATATCCAGCTGCAGGTTGAATGTGGCTAAATGCCGTTTGAGCGTCTCACTATGGCTGTTGATCGTTGGGTCGTCGGTGTCAATGTTGTCTTCAGAAGTAAGAAGTTTTGTCATTTTGCTGAGATGAACAATGTCAAGAGCATTAAAAGAACGATCATTGTTTTTCTCTTTTACTTTTTTTATCATTTCGGAAAGGTTATACGTTGCACTTATTAGAGCCGCTGCAATCGATTCCTGACAGAGATCTTCAATGGTCTCAACCATTATAACAAAAGGATTACTCGAAGCAGATGAGTTTTCGGAAATCTGGAAAATTTTTCCATCCTCTATATCTAACTCTGTTGAAAACTGAGGCTGGCGAAGTTTATCATCAACTGACTCTGTTTCAAATTCAGCATTTCCAGTTAACGCATTACAGCTGGTGACATTACTTTCGACTGGTGCCACAGGCTTGATTTTTGAACTACAACAATGTTTTTCTGCAGATATTTTTTGATTGTGATGGTAGAATAATAGAGTCAGCAATGCTATTGCTAGTTGGACGGAAAGAGTAGTGGCTCCAGAAATCATCGACCTGTTTAAAAGTCTGTGCAATCCCTCGTTTCTCTCTGTACCACATCCTGGAGGTATTTCTGATAAACAGCCTTTCTGTATATGCTTGCGTAGATTTTCAATTTCTATAAAAGTTGCTTCTGTAAGAGGGCTAAAGAGAACATTGCTCCAGCGTTCTATAAACGAGTTAAGATTTTTTTTCCATCTTTTCCTTGTACACAGTGCTTTTAAGTCGTTTCTCGCCTTGGTCATCGTCGTCACGAAATATTTGAACAAAAGATTTTGACACTTCTTTATTAAGAGCATTTTGTCGAGCAAATGTTCTCGTTATTCTTTGACATGCGTGAAACAGATCAAGTTTGACAGAGACGTTTGGAAAGATATTGCTGTACTTGCTGCTAATTAACATGACAGCAATCATCCACGCAAACAAGCTTTAAAGAGTTTCCAGAAAAAGACAGCCTTCTCTTGAGTTGGATAAGAAGGTCTTCAATTTCATTGAAGGACGTCGACTTTGTCAATTTCCATGCCACAACTTCCCCACGTTCATTTAGGCAAATAAATAATTGGTGAACTGGGTTACAAATTTGTTATCTTTCTCCCTGACGAACCCAATATTGCGACTTATTTTAAAGGTGTGATCACAAGACAAAGATGAAACTGTCAATCGGTTCATCTCCTCATCGTAAATCGCCCTGTTTTTTTCAAAATTGTGGAGGAAAATCTTCATTATCTGGTCATTGCTCGGAAAAGAATATAGAGGATTATTGTGGAACTCAGCGATGTCTGGTATGCTGCACATATTACCTTTGCGTGCACTGAAATATATCCTTCTTCTTTGAAGATACTGGCGATAGTTTAAAGACGCCAAACCTTCGCTTATTTTGAGAAAGCTAACTCCCTCTAAAATTTGGATGTCAAAGAAATGAACCATAGCTTTGGAAACACCACATCTCTGGAAAATATCTAGGGGGAAAAATTCTTGAATGTATCCTGGAAGCAGATTATGAACATCGGGCGTGGTCGCCCGCAATTTGTGTCTTTGTCTATCATTTCCACACCTGTAGATTCCCTGTACAAGAACGATATCTTCCATGAAATCATAGATTAGCCTAGCTTTTTCTCCACCTTTTCCAGAAACGCATCTTGTCCACTGGTTTCGATGTAGATCGTTACCATGCAAAGGACAATTGAGAGCAATCTGAAACTGTTCTTTGGGACTCCAGAGCATTACTTTAGGTAAGAAGTAATCTTCTATTGGTGATCCAGGAGATGGTAGAGGGGGAAAGATAATAGGACAGTGGCTAAAGTGTTGTGAATTTTCATCAAATTTTTTTATTAATTCATCAACATACTTCTGGGTTCGCTCTCACAAGCTAATCCCTGCAACAGTAATGCAATAAACACAGAGAATAATCACAGCAACAGCTGTTACAAATTCCAGTTTCCAATCTGAAAGTAACAAATGCAAAACGATGATAGTCAGTTCGACATGATGGTATCAGTGGGGCTAAAACGATATTGCAATTGTTTATAACAAAGTTATTACGACCACAATTCAAAATATTCCCTGTTCCTGATTGAGTTACGATCCCCTCCCCTAGAACAAAATTAGCTACCGTTGATTTAATTTTAGAAGCCAAAGATAACTACCGTAAATGATAACGAGCAAATTTGAAAACTTGCAGGTGCTACAAAAGAAGATAAACACGCGCGCGCTCTTACAGGACACGAGACCTAGTCGCCCTATTATGACTGTAAAAATGTAAATATTTTTCATGTAAATATATATATATATATATATATATATATATATATATATATATATCCGTAGAGAAAAGAATGAAAAAAATAAAATAAAACAAAAATAAGAACAAGAATGAATGTACAACACTTACTTGACATTTTTGTCATGTTCCGGTACTTGTTTTTTAAAATGTGTTCGCTTTTTGTTTCAGAGGTTCTCGCGAATCTGACCATCAAAGAACTTTTTTAGTTGGATATAACTCTTCTTTTTGACCCTATAGTCCAGTAACGCGACCGTTTCAGTGCCTCAGAAGATGGGTACACACGATATATAGGGGTATACAGGGTATACAGTACTATTAGGGTAAACATGGGTGCACAGGATATATAGGGGTATACAGGGTATACAGTATTACTAGGGTAAACATGGGTGCACAAGGTATATAGGGGTATAAAGGGTATATAGTACTACTAGGGTAAACATGGGTACACAAGATATATAGGGGTCTACAGGGTATACAGTACTATTAGGGTAAACATGGGTGCACAAGGTATATAGGGGTGTGTAGGGTATACAGTACTACTAGGGTAAACATGGGTACACAAGATATATAGGGGTATACAGGGTATACAGTGTTACTAGGGTAAACATGGGTACACAAGATATATAGGGGTATACAGGGTATACAGTATTACTAGGGTAATCAAGGGTAAACAGGATATATAGGGGTATACAGGGTATACAGCATTACTAGGGTAAACATGGGTAAACAGGTTATATAGGGGTATACAGGGTATACAGTATTACTAGGGTAAACATGGGTACACAGGATATATAGGGGTATACAGGGTATACAGTATTACTAGGGTAAACATGGGTGCACAAGGTATATAGGGGTATACAGGGTATACAGTACTACTAGGGTAAACATGGGGGCACAAGGTATATAGGTGTATACAGGGTATACAGTACTACTAGGGTAAACATGGGTACACAAGATATATAGGGGTATACAGGGTATACAGTACTACTAGGGTAAACATGGGTACACAAGATATATAGGGGTATACAGGGTATACAGTATTACTAGGGTAATCAAGGGTAAACAGGATATATAGGGGTATATAGGGTATACAGTATTACTAGGGTAATCAAGGGTAAACAGGATATATAGGGGTATACAGGGTATACAGTATTACTAGGGTAAACATGGGTACACGGGATATATAGGGGTATACAGGGTATACAGTATTACTAGGGTGGACATGGGTGCACAAGGTATATAGGGGTATACAGGGTATACAGTACTACTAGGGTAAACATGGGTACACAAGATAAATTGGGGTATACAGGGTATACAGTATTACTAGGGTAAACATGGGTACACAGGATATATAGGGGTATACAGGGTATACAGTATTACTAGGGTAAACATGGGTGCACAAGATATGTAGGGGTATACAGGGTATACAGTATTACTAGGGTAAACATGGGTACACAGGATATATAGGGGTATACAGGGTATACAGTACTACTAGGGTAAACATGGGTACACAAGGTATATAGGGGTGTGTAGGGTATACAGTACTACTAGGGTAAACATGGGTACACAAGATATATAGGGGTATACAGGGTATACAGTACTACTAGGGTAAACATGGGTGCACAAGGTATATAGGGGTATACAGGGTATACAGTACTACTAGGGTAAACATGGGTACACAAGATAAATTGGGGTATACAGGGTATACAGTATTACTAGGGTAAACATGGGTACACAGGATATATAGGGGTATACAGGGTATACAGTATTACTAGGGTAAACATGGGTGCACAAGATATGTAGGGGTATACAGGGTATACAGTATTACTAGGGTAAACATGGGTACACAGGATATATAGGGGTATACAGGGTATACAGTACTACTAGGGTAAACATGGGTACACAAGATATATAGGAGTATACAATATTGCACTAATATATTAGGGAGTCTATATGGAGACTGCCATGAATTACTTGCCCTCTGTCGACCGCGTGCAAATAACGTAAAAGATGGCTGACGAAGGCAAGGACGAAACTTGCGATCAGACCAGGCAAAATCCACGGCAAGTAAGTTTGTATTACGTTGCTTTATTTTGTTGAAGAAAAATATTTTCTCTAAGAAGACACTACTACAGTGTAAACGAAGAGATTACTATTTTGGAGCTTTATATCCATATTTTATACGCTGTGGCTATATGGCCGGTAACCGGGTCAAGGTTTTCAAAACACCAAATGGCCGGCAGTTCTATATTCTCAGTAAATTTCACAAAATCGAAAGATTCTAGCTAATCTAAACTATCATATGTCGATTAAGACAAGTCAAGCGATCCTGAAATGCTTTATAGATCTCAAGTCTTGTGTTTGGTTTACGCTGGGCTCAGAAGACGAAACCGTGTTTTGTGACACTTGCAACTTTTTTCAGCTAGACTGCCGGTCAAGGTTTTCAAAACACTAAATGGCCGGCAGTCCTATACAAAGTAAAAGGCAAACGAACTTTATGCCCTACATAATAAATGAAACTGGTCTAAAAGAAAACAAATATATTATTGATATTCACTGCACGTTTGATATTTTAGTGGCACGAAAATAACTCAACATTTTCAGGCCGGGTCTTCGAAACTGTGTCGAGAACTGATAGAAGCTTGAACAATTGATGATTTAAATCTTCTCTATGAGGTTTATCTCGGTTTTTCATTTTTATCCACTCTCGTTTTATTTTCCGACGACAGTTTGATGTGTGAGATTGATGACCTTAAGTCTGTTCCTTCACGTGTGCGTAATCTTATAGTCGATTCTAATGGAAATAAGAGAGAACAATGGTCGTGACTAGAATGGATACTCCAAAATCAGGTATCCGCTCGGAGACTGGAACTGAATAAAATTATTTTTCGGCAAATCACTCCGACTCTTCACGACCTTGTTGTGTTGAAAGAGATAAGTATACAAAGACTGAAAAAGGCCAAGATGCGAATGGTTTCTCCAAAATATGGATCAAAGCCTACATAGAGGTTAGTTGTTTTTCACGTTCTTTTTGTAAGAATTTAGTGCAAGGAGCAAACAATGTCTGTTTAATTACAGTACCGCGACTGCATTGTAAAGCTTATTCATAGCAAAGTATCTGTTTGGATAGCTCAGAATAAGGTGGATACTTCAGAATAAGAATGGCCAAAAGATGAAAGTTTTGGCCATCTGGATTATTATTACTGAACTTCCCAATATAAACACGATTGTTACGTTTACAAAGAGGGTACAAATACAGTTAAAGTCAGTTAACCATCTTATAATTTTATGGGTTAGTTGAGGGTCGTGAAGGGGGGTACCAAATCCCAGTTTCCAGACTAATTTTTGCCAAAATCCCAGTTACCAAATCTAAAATCCCATTACTAATGATTATTTGCAAAATCATGCGCATAATAAATTAAAAGCACTGATTGACGCTATTTGGATACACGTACCTTAACCTGGACTGAAGAAAATCTCTCATTCTGCTGTTGAACACTCTTTCTCTTCCAGCCCTTGTTGACATAACCATATGAAAACCAATTCTATCATCTGCACAATCCTCGTCTGACTCACTGTCTCCGCTTTCACTGCTAGCTGGTAGCTAGACCGCGGGTGCGAAGGCGAAAAATACTGATTTCACGGTCTCTACTGAGGAGTGCAAGGTCTATTGCTACGAAATATTGGAGCAAAGACCGCTGAAGAAAAGAAATCCCATTCCCATTTTATAATTGTTCATCCCATTCCCAGTGGCTAAATCCCAGTCCCAGTGAGTAAATCCCATTTTCCCAGTCCACAATAAGGCTAATCCCAGTTCCCATTTTACCCCTTCACGACCCTCTTAGTTGATTCCAAGCGTTAACAATAGTAAAAAACACATAATTTACTTCAGGTCATACTTCTTGTAGCTTGGTGATCACTATTACAAGCGCAGGCAGGCATATGCTCAAGTTTCTAAGAAAAAAAAACAGTCCTGCAGATTGTATTAGTGTAGTGTCTCTTTATATGCTCTGATATAGGCCCTGGAGCCTACAGTGGCAGATCTGAACCTTCAGATAAGAGGGGTGGGGGGAGGTTTCTCACCAGACCTTAAGGTGACGGGTAGGAACCACTCATCCAGACCTTAAGGTATGGAGGAGCTCAATCCAGAAAATAATTTTCTTGGCACTGTTGTCCTCGGTTTGATCTAGAAATATGGAGGGCAGGGGACCTCCCCTAGATCTACTGCTGGGCTCTGCCAGCCCGCCCATGTTCACCGGCTATCTTTTTACATTTACTAGAAACTCTAGTATCAATCCAAGTTATTTATCTTAAATATTAGGATTTTTGCACAGTTATTTATAGTTACTTTTTTGCACTTGGTTTTTGTTTTGTTTTATTGTTTTGTTTTATTCAAATCCCACGAGCCTCATTGTCACCCAAACTCTCTGCCTTCCATACCCTATCCCACACTGAACTGTCTGACAACAGTCCTCAGCCAAGTGGTACCATCATGATGTTGAAAAGTGTGGAAATAGATCCTGTCTATCCTGGGATGAATTCTTTTTCTTTTTCTTCCCCCTTACTCCACTCAAGGGGGAGGTGTTTTCCTTCCCCTCCCTGTGACCTAATATTTCCTTGATTGCCTTCTGAGCTCCTGATGAGACAAGACCTTCAGCTTTAAGCTAATTATGGGCTACTTTCTGTTTTTCACTTAGTATGGTGAGCTTATCATAAATTTAAAATGGAATAAAAATGATCATGCGGGCATATCCATGTTGCAGCTGTAACAGGAGGAGGAGTTGGAGGTCTGGGTGGTGTTGCAGACAAATGCTTGTGAGCCGAACAGAGAAACCAGTTGGAGAAAGAAATGAAGAAAATTGGAGAAGGCCAAGCAGTTGGCTGCTCAGTTGCATGTCTGGGTAGCTTGACCATTTGGTTAATGAAATTCTCAAAACCACAAACAAACCACTCTAAGAATTTGATAAAATGTGTAAAATAAATTGTTTATTACTTTTATAAAAATAAAGTCGTTCAAATGTTTACAATTCTACAACCATTTTTTCATTTCTTCCTTTTCCCATAATTCTTTCCTCTCTTTTACTTTCCTCTTACTCTTTCTCCACTTCCACAATGTGCTTTTATGTACCCTCTATACCTGGGTTGGAAAGTCACCTGAAAATTTGAAATTAGCCATGCATTAAATAAAGCTTCCATTATAATCAGTCTTTCTGGAAATAAAGCTACTACTTTGGCGGTAATTCTCAAAAGCACTGTGTCCCACGATACAGTGCCTTGATTCAGCAAATAAGCCTTAACCCTTTTGTTTTAGATGAGAGTTTTCAACAGTTATTATGAAAAGATGTTAAAATTAAAGATTTTTTTTTTTGGTAGCAGAGAAAAGCCCCCAGTTCAGTGCATTACAAATAATTATCACCTACAAAGTTGCCTATCATCTGAATTAAAAAGGAACAACCAAATCGTTTCGTTGTGGTACCTGCCTAATATCAAAATAAATAACTAAGATACTGATAAATGAATAATAATTATTGAAGTAGAGTGTCCAGGCCATTTTAGCTTAACAAAACAAAAAGCACAAGGTAAGTCATTCTTATTTCTATTTTTGTCAAAAAATGGAATTTAGGACACATTTTGTTTATTGTCATACATTCTCTTATAAATTCAAAGTCCAACAAACTGGGCTTCCTTTGGATGGGGCAACATTTCATGACAGGATGGACTATAATGGGGCTACCTTTTCAACACCTTCAATGTGACTGGAAATTACAAAGGTTCACACAGCAGATTCAGGAATACAAAATGACTAACTTGGAATCACATAGTTTACATTTGCCAAAAGTAGCCAACATTGGGCCTTTTGGTCATAGAAAAGACTACAAAAGGATTTGGGTTCTGGTTGGCTAATTGTGCCAGATACCCAGCACACCAAAAGGCTGACCCATGTATCCCACAGGTTGTGAGGGTCACTTTGGTTTTTATAATCTCATAAAGTATCCATTATTGTCACACTAAACTAAACAGCAACTTACTACTGAAAAAAAAATCAACCATAATATATAAGAAAACAGAAATAGTTTATGTTGAGCCATAAATGGAACAACTGTCTGCTATCCTTGGGGGGGGGGGGGTACTCCCTTATATGGCCTACATGGGGATGTGCCAGTGGGCAGGGTATGGTTTTCGTCCTCTCTGTCCTAAACAGGGTATATAGTTTGGCACAAGTCTGTCTTAAACAGGGTATACAATTTCGTGCAAGTCTGTCCTAAACAGTGTGCATGATTTGTGCGAGTCGGTTCTAATTATAAACAGGCTGTTTCATGCATGATCGATTTCGTCTTAGTGCAAACGTTCACAGATATTTAGTACCTTATCACCCAAAGCATTTACTGGAATAAATATAAATGCTATTGTTCTTGGCACCTTTGTCTAGCTAAGATAAGTACAAGTTGACAGGTGTGCTTGATAACCTTGTCCCCGTCTGAGGGAGTTGTTGTCCTATCAGGGTACTAAAGTTGAGGGTGTTATCCTAAGCAGGGTATGGGTTTCAAACCCTCAGCGGCTCACCTATACCCAAGTATTGGTCGAGTACCCCCACCCCCGCCCCCCGGCCTGCTATCCTAAGCAAGCTTCGAATTAACTGAGCCATAATTAAACAATAATTGACTGTATTTGTACCCTTTTTGTAAACGCAACAATCGTGTTTATTTTGGGAAGTTCAGTAATAATAATCCAGATGGCCAAAACTTTCATCTTTTGGCCATTCTTATTCTGAAGTATCCACCTTATTCTGAGCTATCCAAACAGATACTTTGCTATGAATAAGCTTTACAATGCAGTGGCGGTACTGTAATTAAACAGACATTGTTTGCTGCTTGCACTAAATTCTTACAAAAAGAACGTGAAAAACAACTAACCTCTATGTAGGCTTTGATCCATATTTTGGAGAAACCATTCGCATCTTGGCCTTTTTCAGTCTTTGTATACTTATCTCTTTGAACACAACAAGGTCGTGAAGAGTCGGAGTGATTTGCCGAAAAATAATTTTATTCAATTCCAGTCTCCGAGCGGATACCTGATTTTGGAGTATCCATTCTAGTCACGACCAGAGAACAATAGACCTTGTCACGGTTTTCGACGCCATCTTGAGGAGTAGGCAAACCCGTGAGAAATTACGGTGTTTATATGAGAATCTAATGTCGAATAATTTCCGTAAAACGGCTGTTCTGAAAAAAAAACATCAATTGTAAAATAAAGCTACAAAGCAAAGGATTGTCCTAAAAAAATTTGGGGGCGTACCTGCGCTTAAATTTCTCCAGAGGCTTGCTTTAGATTTTCCATATATTTGTCTGTATTTTCCCCGGGACTTTCTTACAGACAAATGTATAGAAAATTTTAAAAAATGGTTGTAGGTCTTCTAGTGCATGTAACGCCCTCAATTTTTTTCAGGAGAGCCTTAGGAGTGAAGCTTTAATTTACAAATCATATTTTTTTCAGAACAGCCGTTCTACGGAAATTATTCGACATTAGATTCTCATACAAACACTTTAATTTCTCACGCGTTTGCCTACTTGTCAAGATGGCGTCGAAAACCGTGACAGGGTCAATAGATTCAACACAGTTAAGTTAGACGTTTCAAAAGAGCTTTACACCTATCTCATCATTTTTTAGGTCGTCGTTTTCTAGACACGTTTTATCCAAAACCAGATTCATTTCCAAATTAAAGTTGTAAAATTCTATTTTGTTGACTTCCCGACAACAGGTCTGTGGCTATTAAACCTATTGTATCATCGCCGAAACTGAAGCACACCGTATAATGCATGGTGACCAGCTAGTCAGATAAACAATTTCAGTTGTACGTACCACGTTTTTTTCATTTGGCAGCATTCATTAATCGTGGCTTTATGAAGCCCCGAACCCTTAAGAAAATGCAAAATATTTTTCACGCCTAGCCGTGCTGAAAAACTTTGGAACAAGTTTAGATTTGTTTTGACTTTGCAACCTCTTTAGGATATGTTTTTTTATCTCAGTACTTAGTACTAAGCTCCTTCAAGCAAGCAATTATCAAAGCCAGTTCCTTCACATGAAAATGAATATAATATAGCAGTTGAACCCAAAACAAAATGCTACTTTCATTTTCTTTCAAAACTCATATATATAGGATTATATCTTTCTCTTTAATTTTTCAGGGGTTAAACCGTGAATAACTTGCTGTATACAGGGCGTTTTTCAGATAGTTATTCACGTGGTCCAAAGACACCCCAATCATAAGAGCAAGAAACGCAGCACTGGGAGAAGGAAAAAATTATAGTAGGCCAGTTTTTGTTTGTCTTGTCCCAATGCGTACCTTGCTCTCCAGTGCGTATAAGGTTTTGGATCACGTGAATGTCTAGCCGCCAAGGGTCCGACTGGTTCGTAGTAGCCATTATTTATTTCACTCATCCAATATTGTAGTCTAGTCTATTTAGGGGTAGTCCTTGATATGGCATACGGACCCGATCGGCTTGACCGTGGAAGATAAGGTCAGCGATTTACGCTCTTCTGGTGTGTGAAATGGCATTACTGTCGAGAGTGTAAATACCTAGTCTCCCGCGCAGCGCCCTTTTTTCAGTGGAGTCGTAGTATATGTACTGGTCAATGGTACAACAGCAGAATTAAAAACAGACAATTAGCAACTTCGCGAAAAAACTCAGATCAAATCTCCCACTCGTAGTCGTCCTCGTCCTCGAATCTAAAGGTCTATAGGTTTGTAATCAAACTCAGAGCCCCCGTCAGAGGATTCATGGTAATTTTCTTCAGTTTCAAGGATCCAAACATTGATTTTTAAGCATTAGACAGCAGGTTTTTCATGAAAACAGCGTCTGGATGAACGTTCATTTCTGTGCTTTTTTTTTTTTAAGCTGAGGCTGGGCAACGTACTCAAGTGCTCAACTCTTAGTAAATTTGCTCCTTAAATTTCATTGGCTATTTAACTTTGTCCGATCTGATCCCATCTTATTCCCCAGAGTTGTTACTTTTAAGAAAGGTACTAAACTCACTCATGGTTGCGTATTTTATTTCCCGGCTAGTTTCAAGAGCGAAAGTGTGGCTTCTTGTTGGGGATAAATATTTGCGATTTTCAGGAGGTCGTGCCCTCGACACACTAGTAAAACAACACGCAGAGATGTCACTGTTTGTAAAACACGTTACCAATAAACAACATGTCCCTGTTTTTCTCTGACGCTACGGTAGACATTGCCAGGCCTAGTCCCTGTACGGCGTCTTCCCACGCAATCTCGGTCAAGGCATTTCGTTGGCGAACTCGCTGGGACCACGTGACCCGAAACGTAATAGCCGCGCGAAATAACTGAGGGAGCTTTAGCATCGACGACAGCAACGACAGCGACAACGTCATTTTTCAAATGAATTCCCATTTTTTTCAATCTTTGTCGGGTTTATTCCAATTTGCTGAAAATGGCAAGTGTAGGCGAATTTCCCTGGAGTTGATTTCTTGAGGACCGCACTCAAGTTTAGAGAGAGAAAAAGAGATTCGTCGTCGCTTGTTTATAAAATAAAACTTGCAATTAGGCATTTTCACGTCGTAGTCGTGCAAGGACGGTAAAGAAATGTATAAAAGAGCGTTATGCACGTGCAAAGTTGTTGTTTTGCGTAATAAACCTATTGCTTTTTTGACGTCCTGATTGCCGTCGCCGTCGTCCTTGCTAAAGCTCCCTAATGAGGCCTACGGACAAGGCAACCGCTGAGAGTGGTTCCGTACAGTCCTTCGCTATCATTAAAAACACTGGACACGGGAATTTTGTTATTGGCCGTTTTCATACTAGAGCTAGAAATGGATTATCGGTCTGAGACTAGCCTGTGTACAGTCGCCCCCTTCCCGACAGACACCCCTTCTCCGACTTTTTCTGAGGGGAAGGGGCGGCTGTACACAGAAACGGATAATCCCGTCTTCAAACAGTGTCCGTCGAAATTGACGAATAAAATCAGGCGGATTGTTCATTCAAAATTAAAACTATTCCATTTTCAAATTAAGACGTATTACCTATCTGACGCGAATCATCAAACGGATAACCCATCTCACACGAATAATCCGTCTCTAGTGTGAAAACGGCCATTTCTGTTGTAATGAATGTCGCGCCCCGGCCTTGAGTTGGGCGTGTGTGCTTTGCTTTTTCACAAAGATTATTTTTAAATTGACTATTGACATTTCTATGTGTAAAATAGTATTAGAAGTGGAATACTTTATAAAAAGTATGATCTATCAAATGTTAAAGTTTTTCAAAAGAATAGCTTATTTCATCCCGAGATGATCTTAGACTTTCATTTTGCTTTAAAGATACAAAAAATACAGGTTAATTAATATTTAACTTTTTGAAACAAAAGAAGTTAATTTTTAACTTTTTTGTTAACCGTAACTGAAAAAAATTAACCGATAGCCGTAAAAATAACTTTTAAAGTCCTTTTATTGGTATACAAGGCCCTTCATGGCCTTGCACCTTCTTATATTTCTGACCTTTTGAATTTTAAAACATACTCTAGGTCATTGCGTTCTTCCTGTAAAGAATACTTAGTGGTTCCAAGAAGCAGATTGAAAACATATGGAGACAGAGCTTTCTCTATTGCAGGACCTAAATTGTGGAACGATTTACCTCTAGAGATTAGGAAATGTGCTTCAGTGGCAACTTTTAAGCAATCCCTTAAAACTTTTTTATTTAAGTTAGCATATAGGTTATGAGATTCCTTTTGTTTTGAGATGTTTTTGATTTATATAGTAGATAACTTAGGCTATATTTGAATTATATTGTATATTGTAGATATTTTTATATTTTATATTTTTTATATTTTATTTTGCAATTAGGTAGCGCTTTGGACAATTATTGGATTTTAGCGCTATATAAATAAAATTATTATTATTATTTATTATTATTAAAAAGCCAAAATTTTAGCCGATAAAAATTGCGTTATAAGGCTAAAAAGGTGTTTTTTATTCAAGAACCATAAAAACCCATCGATAAATTTTAATCATAGGAGAAACTTTGGAAGATGTGTCTCTCTAAAAGCATTGTCTATTTTGGAGAATACGTCGTTTATTATATTGGTGAGTGAGATCGAAACTTTATAATTTTCAGTGAAAAGTAGGGCAAAATGGCGTCTCTTATAATTATCTCCGCCACATTTCGTTCACAAAGATTTCATTATTTTTTAGCTTTATGCAGAAAGTATGTACTCGCTGTAATGCACATTTAGTGCACAGCAATCGTGTAGAAAATCAAGTTGCTATATTATTATACGAGTTTAGAGAAACTGTACCAGTAAATGTAGCTTTAGGCCAGTTTTTTTTTAAAAGGTGCAGGGTCACCAACATCGTACTCATGGCCAGATGCTGACCAAAATAACAAAATGAGAAATGAATACATGCCAAAAATTCAAAACAATAGAAAATTACAAATGTGAGGATTGCCTTCTCCAGGTCACCTACACCCAACACAGAATAACTTTAACAAACTTACGATTAAGCAATCACAAACTCGCCTTAGAAACGGACCGATACCTAAGACCTTATAAAAAAAACCTGAATCGAATAAAGAATGTGTCCAAATTTGTAAACTTGACATGGAGGACGAATATCACTGAACTGTATATGCCCCTCCTACCAGGAAAAACAAACGTTCTATTCGATAACTTGAAAAATGGTCATCTAATTAGAGTGAACAAAATGTCACCCAATGAAATATTCATGTTATTTTTAATAAATATCTCTAGCGAGAATTCTGAAACCCCCAAAATAATAGCAAGGCATGTGTTCGAATGCTTCAAAATAAGAAACGAGAAGGAAGACAAAGAGTAGTGTAAAATATGTGTCCGTGTGTATGTAATTATCTTCTTTTTGCAATAACTTGTTGTGTAAAGTGTACTAAATAGCTTAGCACAGAAGATTTTAATTTTAAATTATTTGGAAAACGGTTTATGTACCAGGTGGAAACAGGCCCCAAGTAAAGTGTTGTCTATTGTCTATGGCCAATGAACAACCCTAAAAACTGCCCGCTAGCGCCTAGTTGTGAAAACACTGTGATATACATTTTTTTTCATTCTTAGCTAGCTTAGTATCCTTACGAAAAATAAATAACTTGGAAGATAGCTGTTATTTGGACGGGGGGCGTACTCCAGTTAATGGCTTATACGGGGAGGCTTCGCCATAAAAGGGTACCTTAAGGAGGCGTCAGGCATATTAAAGGGTAGAGAATTGACGATCTGGCCCCGATTGACCAAACGTTGGGTAGCGCTATCCACCTAAATCACTATCCAGCGGATACGTATTGGGAAAGTAATTGCACTATTCACTGGATAGAGCCTTTGAACACCGAAGCCTGAAGTATATGCATGTAAGGTAAAGAAAATCGAATGACGTGCCTTATGGCTTTACCATTTAAATTTATTGCAAGTTACACTAGCAGCCAATGGTTACATAATATGATACATAAAATGATAAGAAGACTCCCTGCTTTAGCTATTTATTTCTATGGTGGGCAGGTACCATGGGGGTGGGGGTACCATCTCTGAATGGAAGGTATACTACAGAGGTACCTCTTCTGCCAAAACTGGTAGATTAAATTAAAAGGGTGTGGGGTTGGATCTCGGGGTGAAGCCTCCCAGCAGAAAACTGTCATGCTCAAAAGCGGACTCCCCGATTAGCTCGCGCTGGTCACTGCTAAAATTTGACTGAAACTGGAAACCACGTGTGAAAAGTCTCTGGTGCAAAGGGTAACTTCTCACCGGAATTGAATTTATTAACGAAAACAGGTAAGTCAATAAACGGCTGGGTTTTTATGGTATAAAGTGATATTGAAGATATTTTTCCTTTGAGCAGGAAGGGAGGCTGGGGCAATCAAGTGATCCAAAGAACCCGGAGGACCCGAAGGAACAACATGAGCTGGAATTCATGATCATTACCCTGGAATTGCTGCCTCACCAGAATGGAAATGCAGAAAATGGCACTTCATCGGGCAATGGTAAATCGGGTTTCAGTTTCAGTCGAATTTTAAATTTGAACAAGTGTCAGTTTTATTCCTCTGACAGTTTTCGGAGAAAAAGAGGCCACGCGGGCTGAATCAGTGTCACTGCACGTACAAGCAGAAGCTATCGAGTCGGTCTGCCGAATCTCGTACTGATATATTTTTCAAAGCATAACACATGTAGTGACAAAAATTATGACTCCCTTAAAATTATTGTTTTCCTAGTAAGATATCGAGGTGTCCATATTAAGCGGGTGTCCGTAAGGGAGATTCGACGGTATGTCTGTTAAGTTCATCGAGCCTTCGAGCATTGGTTTCTCTAGGCCGAATAACATGCTACGAAGGGAGAAAAATCTCTGCGAGCGACCTTCTGTATCTTTGGTCGAGCCGCCGTCCAGCGCGGTGAGGGTAAAAGGCGGAATGAGTTTGCGGAATGGCATGTGGCATGGCTTGCGGAATGACATAATTATGCGGAATGTAAAATATGGAAATTGGCGCAAAGAAATAAATTAAACTGAAAGGCATGCGCGGGTCATTGCCGCCCCTTTTTTGGCGCCAATTTGAGTGAACAACTGCTTTACTGGTTCACGCATTTAGACATTTATCTAAAACATACCCGAGAATTAGCTAGCAGCCTCCACACGAAAACATTGAAGTCCGGTAAATATACTGAGGCGTGACCAAAATAACTTAGTTTCCTCGATTAACAAGACGAAATATCTTCTTTTTCCGTTATCCTTAGCGAATTTAATACCATTGTTATAGTCCTTATTTTTGAGTCGATAGAAAGTGAATCCCAGAATACTTGTGCATTTGATTTTTTGCTTCTTCAAAATACTGTCGGCACCGAAAGTGTTACTCCTTCGATCAAGAATTACGTTGCGTTACTACCTTGATTTCGTGACTGTGATTTTGACAGCTCCGTCTCTTCAACGTACGTTTTGCCACGTGCAGTCACGGAACAGACTGTCACGCAGAGTCGCCGGCAGGTAAAGTTCAGTGTTTCAAAATGGCTAAAATTGACCCAGTTTCACCTTTTTACTCCATTCTTTGATTGAAAAAAGCAATTTTGCAAAGGGAAAACCTACAAGACGTACGAAAAACGAGCCATTGGGCTGTAAATATCTGTTTATGTGCGTTTCAAAATTAGTAGTGTTTACACAATACAGACAATTTATACCGCCAGCCTACCATGAAAATTCCTGAACTTCGATGGTGTCTTACAGAGATTTCCTTCACTTACCCAAGCCAATTCCCAGGTATGTTTTAAATGAATGTCTAAATGTGTGATTTAAATCGCAAGAAGAGAATTTGGAGTTATACCACATGTTAAATATTGGCGGCGAAAATGAGCAACGAACTGAAATTTTTGTTATCCTGAAAACCTATCCCTCATTTTTAAAATTATTTCAGTACGACCAGCTTCCCTTTGTCCAGAAAAAATCTTCTAGTGGAAGGAAAAGAATTTTTCTGTTCGTGGAAAGCGTCCAAATTTCTCCATCCAGCTGATGTTAGCGAATTTCAGGTTAAAAATTAATGCAGTCTGAGACTCCGGCGACATCGAGAACCGATCTTCTATTTTTTCTCCCGAATAAAAGGCTTTCGGCGGGAACAATCTACGTTAGGTTTCTCTTTTACCTAATAGCTATCTATGAACAAAAATGAAAGAAATTGATTTTTCAACTCTTGTCACGAAATTAAGATTTTGGTCGATTTTTCTGTTTCGCACGTCTCAAGCTCGCAGCTGAGGAAACAAAATACAAGATTCATTCATCTCTGAATAATATTATCAATTATGTCACGATCACGTAACCCACAGTCTCATAAAGAAACACTTCTCACACGGTTTCGAATACAAATATAGGTAACAAGAAACTGTTGAGTTAATCGTACAAACATCTTTTGCAGAAAAAAATTAAAGTAGAAGGGAGCGTGACCTTCGAAAACATCTTTTCTTCAATAGACGAAGAATCTTTTTGGCTGTGCGGAAAAGGCTGGTCGACAATGAGCCTTCGTGGTTTTTTTATTGTCATCAAAGGTTTAACCTTTGATGACAATAATAATAAGCCCGCAACATTAAACAGCGGCTGCGTTTGCAAATTGATTGGCGCCAAAAATGGGTGCTCTTTTCAGTTTAATTTATTTCTCTTGATCATTCAGCAGCGTATATTAAATTCCGCATAATTATGTCATTCCGCAAGCCATGCCACATGCCATTCCGCAAACTCATTCCGCCTTTTACCCTCACCGCGTCCAGCGCCATGGACGAATAAATTAACTTTGAAAAGGTAAAACCTGTTTAAAAACAAGTTAGGGCTCTTGCGCAATTGCTTTCGCTTATAACTGCTGCCCAAACGCGAGCCTGCTGTGAATTACGCTCTTTCAGTCCTCCTACCCACATAATTTGTCGACTGTAGGGTAACCCGACTAGAGTTGAATTCCTAGGGACCATATCCAAGTTCAGAAAGAGAAATAAAACTTCGTCGTTACTTGTCTACGTTCTCCATAAAACGCAAAGTATGGCACTTTCACGTCGTAGTCGTGCAAAATAAATATGTCTGCGCAAAAGGCATATTTATTGTTTTTCTTCTTAAACCTATTGTTTTTTTTTGTTTTTGTTTTTGTTTATTTTTTGACGTTCTCTTTGCCGTCGCGTACCTGGATCTTAAAGTCCCTATGTTTCCTGCGAATCAAGAGGAAGTGATGTTATTTGACGGTTTGACTTAGGCGTCACGTGGACCCGCATGCTTGATGGAAAAGCGAACGGACGCTCTCGGCGGTTTCTTTCCATTCACAGCGTAGCGTCCAGCCCGGAGAAACCACTGCTGGCAGGGAAGTCACGCCTTGGTCACCATGAAAGCGTTACTGACATTTGCCACAGACGAATGCTTAAAAAAATTCTCGCGGCCCGTCCATCAGAAATGTGGCCCTTCTCCAGATATTTCAAAAACAAGTAAAATCGACTCTGGTCTTCTATCACTAATCTTCTTCGTTATTAAGTCACTAAAATTTTGGTAAAACATGGCAAATTTTCACGCCAATTTGAATCCACTCAAGAACATTTGAATGCTGCCATGTTGCCTCGTACATTTCCAAAAGTGGGAATGCTCTGGACGGTAGATATCATCTCATCGTAAATGACGAGATTTAAAGTTTTAAGCTTTCCCTTTTTCTGTCTCTTAGCTAGAACACACCCTACTATAATTACAACATGACAAAAATTAAGCAACAAAGAAGGCTAATGGACTTAAGTTTGGTCCACCTTATAATAAAACTACACCTGTAATATTTAATATCAGCTCAGAGTGTTGTCAAGGATATGTTAAACGAGAGCTAATTAATGGAAGAGGGTCCATTAAGCATAATCAATACTTATATAGGTTTTTTTTGTCCATTTAACAGGCCCACGACAAACGCCTCCTTCAAACACAACCAATCGGGTTTTAGCTACTGCAGCTGCGGGGGTGGCTGCTACTGCTGTAGGTGTACTTGCCGCTCCAGTAGTTGCTGGCACTGCTTTAGGTGCGGTTGGATTCACTTCCGCTGGAGTAGCTGCTGGTTCTTTCGCAGCAGGTATACAGTCAGCTGTTTATGGTGGATCTGTGGCTGCCGGAAGTCTGTTTGCTCTTTGTCAGAGTGCAGGTGCAACCGGAGTTATTGGTTCAGTGGCGACAGCTGCCATTGGTGGTGGTACTGGATTGACTGGGATTGCAGCAACTCTAGGGGTTTTTAGATTGTTTGTAAGGCTCGACTGTTTGCATATTTATTATTATTAACGTTCCCGTAGACAGTAGAATTAGATTAAAACTAGTATAGTCAACAACGCGCCACATTCGATTCCACTTCGACAGCACTGAAACTGAAAAAAAAAATCAACATAAATCCAAAACAGCAACTAAGGAAAGAGAAAACTTACTTCCTAATATGCGGTTTTGCTAAGCACGAAAAGACGACCGTGAACATTCGTGAACGTCGTGAAAAATATTTCTGGAATGAATTTTTATTGGTGCTGTGTCTGATCACGACAAAAATCAGGACCCGCGAGAAAACCACAAAACCACGAGGTTGTTTGGCTCACGCTTTATTAGCTTTCCTCACAACGTGTTTGGGGTTTTTTAAGTGACTATCTCGCTTAGCGAAATGTTACCTTGATTCAAAGTTTTATATCATTTGCGTCATGTGAGGTACTGGTAACTTCATCTCCTCAATTATCCAACTATTGGTGACCTTAATAGCTCAACTGTAGACATGGGCGTGCTGTTCACGTGAGTTCTTATTAGAGACCTTAAGATCGAGGCTTAGCTTTTACACTTAACAGCAACCCGCGGTTAATGCGGTTAGCGGTTTCACATTAGCCTTATATGCTTATTGCAAGTAAATTTTTGGAATATCATTTTTGTCAAATCGAAATTACAGCGCTAAAACGAATAATTCACGAATACCGAGAAGCTTGTCAACTGAGGTTTCATTCAGTTGCTAAATGAAAAGCAGTTCCTTTGCATTAGAGAATAATGATAATGATGATGACAATGATTCTGATTTGATGATAATAAAAAAAATTTCATAATTTTTGTTGGTAGTACAATAATAAGAAATTATATGGGTGAGGTATTTGTGATATCCGAAATAATCAAGGTCGAGGAAATTAACACTTACGTTATCGAATCTTTGATTATTCTGTATATCACAAAAACCGAATTTAATAACTGTTTTATTATACTGATTGATTAAAAAAGATATTGATCAAACATCCGTCCAACGGAATAAAGCTAATTTGTAGGTTGCGCTGATTTGCAAAATTAAATTGCAGGCTCTTAGCCAATGAGAAGATAGATAGCACAATGCATGCCTTGGTAACCGTATCTTTATTATTTCTAATGCGCATATGAACATAATTGTATGGTATATGCGCATTGTAATTTTATATCTAGTGCTATCATTATGATTCATGTACCAAAAAAAAAATCAATAGGTATTCCATGGCAACGATGTTATAGATCATACACGGTAGACATTTGTATTATGAGTCGAATGGGTTAACGTAAACAATGGTTTATTAATCTGATATACGTAACAAGCAAATGAAAATATAACATTTTAAAAATCGATAAATTCACAGGGAAGGAGGTCCGACACCATAAAGTTGATGATTTGTGGAGGCGGAGTTGGAGCACAAGTGTTTTCTGGTATTGCATGTTCTCAAAAAGACACTGACGTTCGAGTTCTTAGTTTGAAGGAGGATGATGCAAAGCGCTGGAAAACTGCACTGCAGCAAAAGCAACTTGAGGTTATATTTCGCTGTAAAGGGGAGGAAACCTTTCCTATTGTATCCAAACCAGCTCTAGTGACAAAGACAACAAAAGACGTAATGGGAGATGCTGAGGTGGTGGTATTTATGATGCAGCCGTCCTGTCTTAAATATTATTTAGAGGCTTTAGCAACTCACGTTAAACCTGGCACCATTATAGTTGGCTTACCGGGGAACAGTGAGTTTCACTTTCAAGTTCGTCACGCGCTCGGGAGTAAAGCGCAGCAATGCACCACCATGAATTTTGAGTCATTACCTTGGACGTGTTGTACTACTGAATTTGGAGTTAAATGTGAGGTGACTCGTATCATCGACACACTGCCGGGGAATATCAAGGTAGGCCTAATGTCGCTTAACGAGAACTGACTATTACTTCGTGGATTATATGACATAAACATAATTCTCAAACTCATTACTTATTCATGAAGATAAAACAAAGGAAATCACTACCGTAACAGTGGTTTGGATATCGGATCTTAAGTACCATAAAATTTTGCAAACTTTAGCTTTGAATTTCTTCATGAATTATTGATTTTATTGAGAAGATATATCAAACACTCCACTCAGTGTTTCAGGCTGATATCCAGACACCTCGAAGTCGGGCTTAAAAAACTCGTCTGCCCCTCCTTTCTCAACCCACTTCTCGATGTCTTGATGTCGGATGAAACACTGAGTGTCGTGTCTGGTATATTACATCACGGTCTAACTCAAACTATACTGTTTTTACGTACTACGTTTTAAGCATTATGAGGGCAGCTTGGCCAAGTGGTCATCGCGTCAAGTTCGTCATACGGTGATACTAGGCTCGAGCTAACGTCCAAACACTTATTGCTAGATTTGTTTTCTCTCTCGCCTCGAGTCGAAATTGTCATTCGTTTTTGTAAACAGCCAACAGCTGATTGCTTCATGCCATTTTGTGTTATTGATATTGGTAAATGGTTTGAGTGGAGGGCAATTTGGTCTGAAATCATACGCGTGACTTTAAAATTGGACAAGCGAACAGCGTGAGTTCGATTTGAAATCACAAGAGTATGATTTCAGACCAAAATTGCACGTCACGAAACTCAATCACCACTTTATCACAGCCATATTCAGTCAGTACCAATATTTGTTTGACCAAATAGCCGGTTTCTTTAAAGCGGAACAAAGAGGCTTTTACATCTCATTTTGTACCCGAAGCAGAAATGGTGCAATGTAGAGCAAAAATGGTGCGATTTAAACAGAAATGACGTCTTTAGAACATGAATTACGCGATTTAGAACAGAGGTGATTTAGAGCATAAAATAGTGTGGTTCGTGAACAAATCACATTGCTAAGAGCCAGTCAAATTGCAAAGATCACCAGTGATTTTAAAAGGGATATATTTGGACTATCTGTTTGGACTATTTGGACTATCTGTTTTAATACGTTCTTTCTTTCATGTGGAGTCACTATAAACTAGCTGGGATTAAGAAAAGCTGACCTCTTTCACTGTTTACAAAGCTTAGCCCTTGACTCATTCTATACTTTTTTCACTTAAAAATAATCCAAATTCTCAGAGTGAATGATCACATTTGAAGTATATCGTTTGAGTAAGGCGTTTTAAAAAAACTGCTTGATTGCCCCAGCTTCATTCACAAGCAATCATTGTTTTAATTTGTTGTTTTAATGCAGCGAAAGCCAAGAGAGAATTCCGCCTGAGCGCGTTTTTCAGGCATTCTAGCGAGTAACGTAGCGCTACATAACAACAGTTAGATGTTTGCAATAGCGACAACCGTCTATAGTCTTTCTCGTCAAATATGCCTAACATGAGCACGAAAATATTCTTACATGTTAAATGAATAAAAATGATTAAAAATAAACTAGGTATACCTATCGATAGAGTGCCAACGAGCAAATCATGCGTATTTTGCATAGGAATGGTTCCTTTTTTCCAACATTTGACAGTTTCTTGGTCCCTTGCTGTTGAAAGGATTATTTTCTTGAAACAGAGGTGCTACGCAAGTATAAAGGTTCGGAGAAGAGTCAGTCCTCAGACTCCTGTGGCTTTACGAACCTGCTATATAAAAGTTTGAAGTGTCATGAGGCATACTTTTTTGAAAGAATAAAATAGCTTGCAGAGAAAGCGATCGGTAATATTTAGAGGGAAATATAAAAAATGATCGTTTCTCTTACCACTACAAAATTAGCGTCGGTTCGGTTTCACTATATTTGTGCAGTTTAATCATTTAAACCTCCTCTGAAATTTCCCGGGGCTTTTTGTCGAGTTCCCGATTGAATTTTAGAATGATTCGCTGCGCTGCTTGAAATGTTTTCGAAGACATGCGATGTACGGCACGTCGGTATTTTGTTTTCACTTAATACAAACTCGGCCAGGTTTCGAAAAAAATAGCGTTGTTTTCTTATCTTTTGTCGTTCGGTTTAGGCTTATAATTCTTTTTTATTCTAATTTTTCCATTTACTGGTTAGATTTTTTCCCCAACATCTGATTTTCCAACAGAAGGGACTTTATTCTTCGTATCAAGCTTTCCTTATCTCCTCGTGTAATCTGATCCCTTTTAGTGGTGAGAATTGCTTGTTTCACATGGAAAACTTTTCTTTCCTTAAACTGTTGTTTTACAAGCTTCTCTTCGTTAAAACCTTACATTAATGGCCCCCAAATTATACAATGCATCAAGTTTTCATTTTCCTTGACTGCCGGGGCCAGATTTAGGTGAATAAACAATAAAAGCGTACCACATTCAAGTTCAATCTTCGCGTGCGACCGAGGAAAAAACACATGTGCTCCAAGTATAGTTTATCGCCTTTTGATTGGCTGAAACTGTCACACCACTTGGTCTCAGGGGAATCTACATTACATGAGGTTAGGGGCCGACCATTTAACTCTTGAGGGGGGGCGCGGGGGTGGGTGATTTCTGGTCATCAAGAATTTTTTTTTCTAGCAATATGGTGGGCAGGATATTTTTTTCCCTTTTTTTCCCTTAAGCTCTTTATTACATTTGTGCTGCATGCAATTTTTTTCTTCCGACAAGCGCTTGCAGGAAATTTTTTTTCAAAATCACCCACCCCCCCCCCCCCCCCCTCAAGAGTTAAATGGTCGGCCCCTTACACTTTTTGAGGCTCCATCGAGAATTTTTCTGCCTACAGCCGAGTCTTGCGTGGCTCTATTCTGCTGTCGCCTCGCCATCCGAGCGTCTTCGCTCGGATGGCTCGTTGGCAATGAGAATTAAAAGTTCGAGGGCTTAAACAAATGAGTTTAGCTCAAACCAGGATCATTAAAAACATTCTTTTAAATGACTCAGAAAGTCAGTTCAGTTACTGCAGTGTATGGTGCTAATTTAAGGAGGCATAAAGGAAAAAATAAACAAAACAAATATCAACGAAGCACAGCTTTGAGCGGTAACTTCAAGACCCTGACCGAAGACACTTTCATTTCACTCATGGTGGACTCGGCATTAAACCTAGGCCGTAAGTAGAGACTGATATACTCTACTGGGGCTATGTCATGATATTTGCTCTCTTTTTGAAAAAGGCTAAAGCGTGTCTTCGCATCCATTGAAATCGAAAAAATAAAGGTACAGACGGGCGGTGACTCTTGTTATTTAATTGTTTCCTGCCGTCTGTTGCTACTGATGACAAGGATGGGTAGGGATTGAAACTTGAAAGTGCTGGGCCAAATTTTTCAAGTTTTTAATGCTGTGCCTGCAAAACTCACCAAAAATGGTTTTTGCTCTCTGATGAAAATTAAATTGTTTGAGATCTTCTTCATAACTATTCAATAGCACTTTGTTATAAAAATACAGAGTACAAATAAAACCATAGCAGAGAGGTGTTCATTCATTGAGGTTCAAAATGTGCATGATATATATGTATTTTTTATGTTTTACCAGAGAGGAGACGTCAGTCCAAAGAAGGACCCAGTTTCCACCCTGCAGTATCTTCTGGGACCCCTCCCTAAACTGGCCGTACAGTTCATCGGCTAAGGCCGTTTATGCAACCCAAACAGTATTATTTGTGAACTTGACATAGAGTGATTTAAAATCTAAAGAAAAATAATACCAAAAGTATATTACACATATAGCTCAAACTTTACGTTTGTAGTTAAAATAATAACAAAGGACAATAAAATTTAGCCCCGCAGTAAATTCTTAATTTTTGATCGCATCGCAACATGAGTTAAAATTTGCCCAAATATTTTGATCGCAGCTGTAGTGACTTTCTTTAGTGGGAAGCTTGCAATGATTAAAAGGAGGCGACACGTGGCATGACTTTTTGAGGTGAGTTAACAAGTTAAAGTGGCCTCAACGACTTACAACGTATCGTCACAAATTTAACTTCGTGTTGCGATCAAGATTTAGACGTGCAATGAATTTCGTCCAACAGATAAGTTTTCGTAAAATGAAGATAAAGTTTAATTAGCCAATGAGAATGCAGAATTATTTAAACATGCTTTTTATTCCCATAGTACATCTACGTCCCATAAAAGCAGTAATGGTTGTTTATTAAAAGACGAAGGTTTGCTCCTTCTGCGTTCAATTCTTCATCCTTCCTAGCATAAAAAGTTCTTGCGGCAGCGGCTGAGAAGACACCTGCAGCACCTTTGATGCCACTAGGCCATTTTACAGTTGTGGACTTAGTACCCAAGCCTTTCCTGGGGAAAAAAGTTTTGAAACGATGGAAAACATCTCATTAACCGATTGGTGAACGTTGGTGAACATGCTGTTTCCCGGCATTTTCTATTTGTTCGCTGCCCCAGAAAACCCGAGAAAAACTCAAGCAGAATGACGGAAAACGTCTGTGAATTCTTTGTTTTGCCACTTGAAAACACCAGAAAACACCAAAAAACGCGATGTTAAGTCACTGGAAAACGGCGGTGAACAACGGAATACGATCCGTTCGTCATGTGTTAACCGTATGTTTTCCGTGTCTTTTGCATGAATTATCCGTGCGTTAACCGTCCAGTTAACGCCAGTAAAACAAGCGTTTTCCTGGTGTTAACTGAGCCTAAAAACTATCGGATAATGGAACGAATACTCAAATTCACCTGCCAGAAAACGACGGAAAAAGAGTGGATTTTACGACCGGAAAGCGCGAGAGAACTTTAGCAAAATGCAGCGTTTTCGAAAATTAACCGAGAGTTTTCCGAGACGGTGAATGCCATATTTCCTGCCGTGCGAGTGCATGTGAGGCTGACGGTGACCTTGTTTTGATACAAACGTCATTTGCTTTGTTATGGAAATTGTCCTTAAAAAATACTAGTTAGCATAAGAATGACTTAATTTACATAATAAAGCACGAAGGTTTGTATCAAGACATGGTCACCGTCAGCCTCGCTTCAATCAAAAACTATAAAAAGGCCTATTCCAGTGGCCCCTGCGCTTTGGCCCAGTGCAAACGCACTACCTGAAACCACAAGCAGACTGTGTTGCCCGCGGCAACTCCTGCTGCGGTGAACCCTATTGCTGTCAAAGTAGCAGGGGCGGGTACTATGGTAAGACCACCCACTACTCCGGCCAAACAAACATCAGTCAAGCTCCACCCTGGTTTAAAGAATTTCTATTAATAACTTTCTAAAAAAGTACACGTGAAGCAAACAATACTGGATAACTGCTAACTTTGCTGATGAACATTTTGTTATCAGCAAAGTAACGTGACTGCGAAACCCCCGAGGATGTTTGTACTCATAGATGTATAGATGCTACGGTTGAGGCCTGACATGTACAGTACTGTGTAACTGTATGCGTCAGAAATAAGGTAGCTTTTTCAGGTATATCAAGGAGTGGTTCATTTAAGGTGTTTCAAAAACATCTAGAAAAGAAGGGGGAAGTCTATATCTGTAGACATGCAACGTCTTGCACTACGAAACGTAGGACACAGCTTATAAACGGGTTTTTAAGGTTAGGTCATATGGGACCACGTGACTTATTTTGTCATATAATTACTGAAGAAGAACTTATCTGCACTAATCTAGATAACAACAAAGTAGGAAAAGTGTTATACAAAATAAGGAGAGTGGTGCGATGAGTGCAAAATCGGAAACCGATTTAGGGGTACTATTCTCCGATTTAGCACTACGGATTTCTTTGAATTTTACTTGGAATTGAAGTATCCGATTGTACGATTCTTCCGATTTCAACAACGTCTATCGATTAGAAAGTTGTCGGAGATATTCCTGAACACGACCGATTGGATTTTGAGGAAGGGGGATGCAAATCAAATGGAAGAATCAACAGATACATGGACTGTATCGCGGGCTTACTTACAGCAGTACGACCATGTGGCATTACTGACAGTGAGGGCACAAGAGATGTACACATGAGTCATGCACCCAGGTATACGCGTTTTTGTTGTTAACACTCAGATTTCGAAAGAACAGCGGTCGATCTAATACGGCTGAAATTCGTAGGTGATGACAGAGCGTGCGATCTCCACCAATTCTTAAAGAAAATGTTGGCGCGAAGATTTCTTATTGAGCAGGTCAAGTTTGGTATTTTTCAAGTGCAAAAGCACAAAGAACGGTGGTGTATACCCGCGAACAATAAAGTGCCGCTATCACCAAAGACACTAGAGTAACAAACACTGCAGTGATGATGAGTAAGCTTCAAAATTGCTTTAACGCGTTGCTTTCAACTACTTTTTATGATTTTCACTTTTTATTTTAGCTGAAATTTTGAAAAGAAAAAAGGTTGAAGCTTGTACGCTTTTGAGTTTGAAAAACTAATAATCATGTTGAAAAATGTTGAAAAGATGTTCAATTAATGTAAACTAAGCCTTTGAGTGAATAAAACTCATTTCATCGTTTAGTGGCTTTTAATTTGTCATAACTTTTTGAGAAAAATCTCAGTACTTGAAAAATAAACAAACAGCTTCATGGTTGGTTCGCATGTACAATTTTTATTCACTTGTTGTGAAAAAATCACAAACTCACTCGTTCGGTGCGTTCACTCGTTCGTTTGTGCATAGTTATTAGAGGAGACTGGTTATGAAAAGCGGCAAACATCAATGATAAAAACAACAGTGCTGCAGTTTATGTTGGAAGTACCGTGAAAGTGCACAATCCTTTGTTTTCTGTTGGCAAATTGTTACGGAATAAATTAATGCAACGTTTTTATTGGTCAATACAATCAAAATGATAGGAATTCTTTTGAACGTTGTGCACTTTCAGGTCCACAAAAACATATAACAAAGGAGTCTGACGGGTTTCATAACCATTCCACTCAATTAACTATGGTTTGTGATACTTTGAAACTCGTGAATAAAAATCGTACAAGCGAACCAACCATGAAATAATCTCTATATGCCTGAGTCCTTAGCCAGAACAAAACAGTTTATAATATGTATTAGTACTTACCAAATCAGTGAATAGCAATTTTCTCGCGTTTTGATTGCCTCCCGTAACTCGGAATATCCTTGGCTATTTACTGTTTTGCGACCGGAGCCATGATGGATTCTCGTTTCGAGACACTTTCGGAAGAAGAAATTTGTGCCATAAATGAAGCAATCGTACAAACAAATACCAAAAAAGCGAGAAACTTTGGCTTGTCAGTGTTCACTGGTAGGTAGAAAATTATTTTCATGCTGAATTTGTAGCAAAATCGTAAGATGCACTTGACAAAATCCCCGAAATGTTTGTGAATTGAAAACGAAGTTCTTACTAAGTGACGTTTTTAATTTACAAAAAGTTTCCATTTTTCAGTTTTATCCAACTGATTTGAATAGTATAGTATATAGGGGTACCGGGACATTTTTCATATTCCGGGAACCATTGACCACCCAGCCACGGGCCACGCCCATGACCACGCCCTAATCAATATTTGGTAGTTTGGGCCCCTCTCCGGTACATGTTCAAGCGGTTTATACACAGGGGGTATTAATTTAGAGTTCATCAATGCTGCTAATGGTCAATCCACTACCTTGAGACAACCAAACAGCTATACTATTAAGTATCTGCTGCTGTGATAGTTGCAAACTTCACATAAAATCGTTAGTGTTGAAAATAATCTGCGCCCTGCTATTAAAATATGCAGTCTTGATATATATTTTTATCATCTTCTATCTTAAGAAAGGTAACTTTGAGAGTCTTCACAAATTTGAATCCTTTTGTGATATTGAGTATAGTACCAGATAATCTGCTAATAGCCAAATCTTTTATTTTGCTGCTGTATTAAGGCATCTGTTTTGGACTTTAATGATATCTCAAATGATCGTGTTTAGCCTTTTAGAGCCCGTCGTTTTTCATTAATTCTTGTCCTAGGGGTTGGTACTCAGTGGTCGTTGCTGTTTCTCTGAGTGGGAGCCGGAATAGGACTATCAGTGAAAGGATAGGATTAGCCTCAAAATACTGTATCAGTTTTCGGACATTTCTCCTTGGTGTAGGAATTGGAGTCCTTCTTCTTGGAGCAAGAATAGGGCGATTAGCTTCTTCCAGCATTTTAACCAGATTTTAGAGTTCACTCATTGTGATCCGCCGATAATAGCCTTCTAACTAGTTCATTGCCATTACTCATAATATTATTATTATTATTATTATTACATATAATATTTTTTCCCTGACATACGCTTACTTACATAAGAAGCCATCTCTTTAAACCATTATGGTGGGCGTGGTCCTGGGCGTGGCCGGTGGCTGGGTGCTCAATATATGGATCACGGAATATGCAAAATGTCCCGGAACCCCCTATTTACTATACTTCTGATTTGGTAAATACTAAAACAACTACCCCCCTCAGGGTCGGTGAACAGCGCCCGATATATACCTCGACGCCTTGCGTCTCGCTATATAATCACTACTATTCACCTCCCCTTCGGGGGATAGTTAAACTACGAGCAGTCTCTTATTTTTCTTTGCAAAGTTACTGCACGCGAAACCTAAGCACCTGAGCGGCAAAGCCGCGAGCCGCGAGAAACGAGGGAGTAAGCACGAGAAGAAAAAATAAGAGACTGTGCTGACTCTTTTGTTTTGTCTGGGGACAACGAAGCTGTCAAGGTAATTTAATTAATCAATTAAACCCGAGTAACTTGAAACGATTTATAAATAGAACATAAACAACTGAAGAAATTACACTTTCTTTAAATCTGGTAAGATTGCCTTGAATTCGTTTCCCTTGAGGAAATTCACAGCAGTTTCCTCCTGTAAGTTATCCTTAAAAGTTTTATTACTGGGATTACTGCTTGGTTCGCTATTGTTTGCAGTTGCTTCAGGGGCACCCAACGAGAATATAGTTCAAAACCACATAAACATAACATTGTTGAACGTACTTTAGTATTTAAAAGGTATATAAAGGCTTATTTTTATCCCCTAAAAATTTTTCATCTGTTCGGATTTCCTAGCTGAAAGTATAGTGATCCGAAAATTATAGGGATCAAAATTTACCTTTTCGAAAATTTCAGCCAGAAAAAAGGCTCCCGAAAATTCTAGGTGACCTTTTTCGGGTAAAAATCCGTTAAAAATGGGCAATTACACGATTGTTTTGAAGTTCGAAAATCCTAGGAGAGGCAGGCAAGCAAGAAATTTTTCAGAAAATGATCCGAAAATTCTAGACCTCAAATCGTCTTCCGAAGAGATAATTTTCCGAAAATTGTCGTTGGGTGCCCCTGTTGCTTGTGACGCGTGACTATTTTTATTACTTGCAATCTCACCGCAGACCAGTCAATTATCTGTCAACAGCTGTGCAATTGACCAAACGGTTACTCCGTTTCTGGGCTGACGGAGGGTTTGTTTACTACAAAAGAGTCATCAGTCCGTCTTCTCTCGTCTGGTCACAATCCCTTATTGTAATAATAACGTCGTGGTTTGCAATCGGGCTGGATGAGATAAGAACTAGACGGATTTTAAGAGAAAAGGCGGACTGCAAGCAGTCTAGGGGATAGTTGTATTCTAACAAATGTAATTAGTCACAAATACTCATCCAAGAGAAAGAGCTATTATGATGGAAGTGAACTTCTGCTTACAATAAAGGTGTTTGTTTTTGTTTTTTGTTTTTTTTTTAATATAAAGAGGGCTAAAACCTACGAAAGTAATGACTTTTCTTTTCCTTCCTACTTTTAGCATTTTTTCTCCTTCACCTTTACCTTTATTAAGTACGTAAAGCCGGTTGGGCATCAATGTAACTGTTAAAAAATTAACAATTAATGAATGAGGCTAAGTATCTCATGAACAATTATGGAGATCGAGGAGGGTGTTATCCGTCGAAGACGAAGGCCGAGGCGGATAACACCCTCCGAGATCTCCATAATTCTTCATATGATACGAAAGCCGAATTCAATAGTTGTTTTATTATTCATTCAAAATAATTCCTAGTTTAAAAACATAGCTAAAACAAGCTTACATTCATCGATGTTAAGTTTATCTTCGATAGTTTACGTTCAGGTTTGTCCAGCTCAGCAAATATTCTCCAAATAGCAGATGTCGCCCTCCGAGTTGTCTTCTTCCTGTTTTTGCTATGTTTTTAGCCATTATTTCACTTTGTTCCAGCTGTAGTTCCTACTCTTGAAACGAGTGACGTGTCCGCCATTTTAGTTTTTACAACGAAAACAACTCAATCTCGTCCCCCAGGTCTTCTCGGTTAACGGTGCCTTAACCTGTATACGTAGAAGGCTGCATTTTTGACGTCATTTCCTCTTTAAACACAAAATTCTTCCAAATTTGGTCATCAGTAACTGGTTATGGTGAATTATTTGTCAACTTTTAGCCAATCAGAATTGGGGAAATATTTTGAATGAATAATAAATACATATTAATGACTTGGCTAATTCTCGATCAGCGAAGAGACGCGGAAAGGCCGAAAGGAGACAGCACAGGGAACCCGAATGCTGTATTAGCTAATAGAATAATTAAATGTATTTACGTTGTATTATTAGCTAATAAAATAGTAAGATGTATTTACCTTTGTTCCTGTGTCTTTATGAGTCGTTTTAGAATGGATTTGAATCCGATCAGAGACGGTTAACATTGCCGGTTATAAAAATGCGTTTTCTTGTCTGGCGTGTCGTAAACAAGACGCTCAAATTTCGTCTAATATTGTTAACTATTAACTCTCCTCTAACGGCTACTAGAAGAGAAAGTCAAAAACTCTGTTTTTGTGAAAGAAAATCAGTTTAGCCAAAATTACACAAGTTATTATCAACTTACCTTTTCTGAATCGAATAGTTGTTTCAGTGATCTGAGCCTGGTTATCCATAAACTACAAAATAGTCAAAAACACGAGCAGTATGAAGCAGAACAACTGAACCACGAGCTGCACACAGAAATGAAGCCGAGCGCGATCTGCCTAGAAAATGTGACGGAAAAAGAGACCGGAAATGCTCAACCTGGCGCATGCGTAGAGGTTTTGTCGCGATGTCATGTGGGACACGCGACTGACTTCCGGGTTAGTTCCTGGTATTGAACCGGAAATCAAATAAGCAGAGCTCATACCGGCTAACAAGAGTATCGATTGCGTGTCGCGTGCAAATGAATTAAAATATGGCCGACGAAGGCGAGGACGAAACTTGTGATCAAACCAAGCAAATTCCCTGGCAAGTAAGTTTGCATTACGTTGCTTTATTTGTCGAAGAATAATATTTCCTCTACAAGCCACTTCTACAGCATATGAAGGAGGGGAATACTATTTAAGAGCGACGGTCGACAGGAAATATCGACCATCGAGTGGCAAGAGTTGAAAAATCCATTTCTTCATTTTTTGTCCATAAATAGCTTTTAGGTAGATAAGTAATCTGATGTACCTTGTTCTCGCAAAAAGCCTTTTATTTTCGAGAAAAGTAAGAATACCAGTTTTCGTGGTCGGAGTCTGAAAATGGCCGTATTTTCAACTCGAAAATTTGCTAGCATCATCTCTCCTCGTGTTCGCAAGTAAAGCAGTAAGGAGAAATTTGAACACTTTCCATTAATAGAATAACTCTTCTTCTTTCACTAGAAGATACTTTCAAAGCAATATCAAGACGCGTTGAACTAACATAATTCAAAAACGAAGAACAGGTTTTTACGGTGACAATAACTTTAATTTAGTGGTTGTTTTTTGCGGCATTTTTCTTCTTGTGGTATAGCTCAAAATTTTCCCGGTCCTCGTTTATTCACACATTCATCTAAAGAATACCTTAGAACTGGCTTGGGTTCCTTTAGGTAGCCTCCAAACGAAAGCATCGAAGTCCGGTAAAAATAGTGAAGCGTGACCAAAATAACTTATTTAACGGCTCCAAGTTTCCTCGATCGTAAAGCAACAAGAGGAAATATCTTCCTGTTCCGTCATCCTTAGCGAACTACCTTTGTTAAAGTCCTTATTTTCCGATACAAAGTGATAACCAGAAAAAGCGCGTTTGATTTTTTGTTCTTCTAAATATATACTGTCGGGATCGAAAATGTTACTCTTTCAAGAATTGCGTTGCGTTACTACCGTGATTTTGACAGCTCCGTCTCTTCAAACGTAAGTTATGTCACGTGCAGTCACGGAACAGATTGTCACGCAGAAGCGCCGGCTGGTATTGTTTCAAAATGGCTAAAATTGACCCAGTTTCACCTTTTTACCCCACTCTTTGATTGGAAAAAGGAATTTTGCAATGAGAAAACCTACAAGAAGTACAAAAAACGAGCCTTTAGGCTGTAAATATCTACTTTTGTGCGTTTCGAAATTGGAAGTGTTTCAACAATTACCGCCGGCCTACCATGAAAATTCCGGAACTTCGATGGTGTCTTACAGGGATTACATTCAATAACGCCGGCCAATGCCCAGGTATGTTTTAAATGAATGTCTAGATGCGTGATTTAAATAGCATGAAGAGAATTTGGAGTTATACCACATGTTAAATATTTCCGTCGAAAATGAGTAACGAACTTAAGTTTTTGTTATCCTGAAAATCTATCCCTCATTTTTAAATTATTTCAGTACGACGAGCTTTGCAGGCTTTGCTATTGCCCTGAAAGTATCGTTTGGTGGAAGAAAAAGAATTTTTCTGTTCATGGAAAGTGTCCAAATTTATCCATGCGGCTTAGTTTGCAAACGCAAGGAAAGTTAATGTTAGCGAATTTCAGGTTAAAAATTAGGGGTGGTCTGAGACTCCGACATCGAAAACCGATCTTATAATTTTTCTCACAAATAAAAGGCTTTTGGCGGGAACAATCTACATTAGGTTTCTTATCTGCATAAAAGCTATCTATGAACAAAAAATGAAAGAAATTGATTTTTCAATTCTTGCCGCGAAATTAAGATTTTGGTCGATTTTTCCTAACCGTCGCTCTTAATAGGGAGTTTCGCTTAGTCAGGTTTTAGCTATCGCTAAGTGCCAACGAGCAAAGATTTTACCTAAACGCGGGCGCTGTTCAATTTGTTTAGAAATGTCATGAATTACCGTAATTTACGAAAAAATAATTTGAACTCAATTCGATTGCATAAGTGAAAATCACCTTCATGGTGAACTAAACTGTTCTACTGCATAAAGAATTTGAAATCCCAACTTTACATAGCAAATTTTTAGAAACTAAAATTCGTGTCTAAGGGTTTGACAGGTCATTTTGCGTAAAATTTAGTGGTCTTAAAAGCGAACTTAGAATCCTCGAAAAATCATGTTCAACTTGAAGGTATATATTTGGCCTACAAAAGGAAGAATTGTTCTAAAAAAGTTTGGGGCCGTACCTGTGCTTAAATTTCTCCAGAGGCTTGCTTTAGATTTTCCATACACTTGTTTGTAATTTTTCCCTGGACTTTGAATTTTAAACAGTGGTTCTAGGTGTTCTAGCGCATGTAACGCCCTCTCAATATTTTTCAGTAGATTCCTTTGGACTGAAGCTTTAGTTTACAATTTCTTTTTTTTCAGAACAACCATTCTACGGAAATTATTCGACATTAGATTCTCATACAAACACTGTAATTTCTCACGCGTTTGCTTACATACTCGTCAAGATGGCGTCGAAAACCGTACGGTGACAAGGTCTATTATGATGCCGCCTCGAAGACGCGAGGCTGCTCGTTAGCAATTAGCTTAGGTTATTTAAAGGAAACTTACACTACATGAAGTTAAAGGCAAAAGAGGTTCTTGCGCTACCTAAACAAATGAAACTGGTCGAAAAGACAACAAATATATTGTACGTATTCAGTGGCACGAAAATAACTCGATCAGTGTCTTCGGGCTTAAAGAAATACAAGAAGTACAAGGCTTATCCATTCTTAATTTCTGTCTAAATTTCTTCTTAGAAGTTTTAACAGTTTTCCAAAGTTTATCCAATCTCGCTTTATTTTTCAACGACAGTTCAATAAGTGAGATAAATGACCCTGAAAGTCCGTTAAAAACGTCGAAACTCATATGTGCCAAACTTTGATCGATTCAAATGCAAATGAGCGAAAACGATAGATTCGACACATGTGAAGCGTTTCAAACGAGGTTTACACTTATTCACAACCAGAATCATTGCCATCTTGAAAATATAAAATTCTATTTGTTGACTTTCCGACAACAGGTTTCCGGCAAGCTTGCCAGTTCAGTCCAATAGTCTCCCCGCTGAAAATAAAACAGACCGTTTAACAACCGTTGTAATGCACTCGCCATTTGCACATCTCCCATTATCGTACAATTTGTTTACCTCCCAAACCTTTGCATAACATTTGTTTTTGTTATTTCTTCTGGGCATTACAGTCGTCCCAAGAGAAATAAAAGACAATGCCAATTTTGGGGGGCAAAGAAGGTGTTTTATGGGAGATGTGAAAATTGCTATTGGTGACCAGATGAATTTTACTTGAACGTACTTGCACGTTTTCTTCATTTGGCAACATTCATTACCAATGGCATTATGAAGCTTCGAACCCCGATTAACAAAATATTTTGAAAACCTAGAATTGTAGCTAGCGAAAACAAAGCTTTTTAATTATTCTTCGGGGTGTTGGGTGACATAGAGAAGGGGGCCATAACCGGACTAGTTGACTCCAAGAGGGGGAACTGATATATATTGCATAATGACTGCGCGTACATCGTTCAAAATTGTGGTGGGTTTGTTATTCCGATTGGTAATCATCAATGCAAGAAAAAAATTGGTAGAAGTTTTAACTTTGCGACTTCTTTAAGACATATTTTTGCTCTTAATACTTACTTAATACTTAATCTTTAAATGGCAAGTATTTGTCAAAGACAGTTTCTTTAGCATGAAAATGAATATAAAGCGATTGAAACTAAAACAAAACGCTGCTTAAAGGTTAGATGCTTCTCTTTTTTTGTGAGGGTTAAACCAGGTGAATGACTATTTGCAAAGGGCCTTTTTTCAGCTAGTTAGTCACGTGGTACAAAACCACCCTACTAGAGAGCAAGAAACGCACACGATGGGAGACTAACATCGTGTAGTTGCAGAAAATATCCATACCACCCCCTTCCCACGGAGGGCAACGGAAATTCAGAGGAGAGCGGGGGTCCAAAAGGAGGCAATTTGCGAGGGGTTAGGGGTGGCTTCTCTAGTCTTTTTTTTTTCGGGGGGCTCCGAGTAAAATTGATGAGCAAATTATTGTTTTTATCGATGATCTTTTATTTGCAGTCGGCTTAGTGCCTTTTTTCACGGCTTGCACGAAAGTGTATGTACACGATTGTTGTCGGCTCATGAATAAAATTCCAGTTATCAATCTGTTGCTTTGTTGCACAATGTATTGTGGTATTCAATGAAATGTGGTCATGTTCTAATAAGCCTTCCTCTAACATGTCTGAAAGGAAGCAATTGAAGTTCACTGGTTTGAGAGATGGCATCACTTGTGTCGTGTACGTCCGTATCGCCTCCATGGTTCTCAGTGACTTACCGTTAATAATTAACTAAAAAAGACCACTACAAGGCAAAATTGAGATTATTTGACACTGTATTAACTTAATTTCTTTATCGCAGAAACAATTATCTTTCGCATAATAGCATAGTGCAAAGGCATTTTTGACGGAAATATTCCTTCCGGGGGGTACACAGCCATTTTTCAAACTTACGGAAATTCCAGGGGTGGTGGGGGGGAAAAAGCACCCCTGGAATGGAAATTCCAATGGGGTGGGGTGTCTAAAACAAAAACCTTTTCCGTGAGGGGAGGGGGGGGGGGATGGATATTTTTTGGAGCTACAAAATTTAAAAGATGTTAGCCGTATGTTTGTCTTGTCCCACTGCGTCCCTTGCTCTCCAGTATCAGGAGCGTATGACCCACTGGGTCATAGTCTCCTGCCAGTACGCATGGCGATTTTGGATCATGTTGTCGATGCTAAAGCTCCTTAATGTCTAGCTGCTAAGGGCCTAGAGCAGTTCTAAGCAGCAATTGTTTATGGCTTAATTTAGGGAAATACTAAATAAAAACTGTCCACCTGTCATAGGACAGGTCATATCGGACATGGTTAAATTGCCAATGAAATTTACGGAGAAAACTACTAAATAATTCAATTTAGTGATATAATTAGCTCATGGCCTATGCTTCAACCCGTTATACGAAAATCAAGAAAGAATCATTTCCCGTGTGGCACAATGTATGCCGACAAGCTTCAGCTTCAAAAGAAAACAGCACGAATTGAGCGTTTATTCAGACTTTTTTTCTTTGAAACCTGCTGTAAAAAAGTAATTTTGGATCCTTGAAGCTGAGGAAATGAGTATAAAGCCTTTTCTGACATCTTGAGTGGGCCTTCAACCCTATTCAGACCTGTCTTCTTTTTTTGTGCTTCCTGCGGCGGAGGGGGGAGGGGGAGGAGGTCTCCTGCAGCCGCCCCTATAACTTCAAAAACGCTTATGATACGGCTACCAAAATTACACAGAATAATGTTCTCATCATTTCCAACATCTAGGCACAACGTGATTGGTATAGTGACGTCATTATGACTTCATATTGTTGAATTTCGTCCCCTCAAAGCGAAAAATTCTTAAATTGTGAGGTGTCTAACACAATCAAGATATAGGTTAACACATTAGTAACCTTTAACAATAGCTGTAACGTCATTGGATCCGCCATTTTGAATTAGCTAAATGTATTCAATTTTCCTAAAATCCCTGTTGGCTAGAACCTCTTTAGAACCTCTAATTTTGTTGGCCGGAAGCTCTATTGTTTCAGAGTTAGGGTTCATTGTTAGTTTTGTTTGGGTGAGGGCTATCTATTGTTTTCTAAACCAATCCTGTGAGCCGTTCTTAGAACTTCCGGCCCACCCATGAAAACACGTTTACATGGGGCTAATCGTGACAGAGAAAAATGGATCTGTGTACAAAAGGATGCTCAGGAAGCACAAAAAATTCGCAAGTTTAAAAATGCCGAGAGAAACAAGCATTTTTAAAACTTGATCTAAATTCATGTTTTTTTTTCTCAAATTAGTTACTAAAAAGCGTTACTAATAGCCATAATTGGTAAGTTAAAAATATATTGCTTAATTAGGTTTCATACTAAAATCAATTTTTTTAATAAGTAAAATTACAAATCCTCCATTATACGAAAAAAGCAAATTTTGAAAAACATGACTGTCAAAACTCGGTTGCCATGGGAACATCGAGGGTAGCGTACACGTCACGACAACTTTTAAATGTTCTCAGATAATTTTTAGGAAAGGTCGCCATGTTTGGTGGTCATAGACTTATCAATGCATGAGGGCAAAAAAGACTGTCGGAAAGTTGCTAGTCGTGGAAGCGCTGGGTTATTCTTAATGATTTTATGCTTACTTGTGATAATTAGAATCTTTAAGAGAAATTATTCTATAAGGGGAGGCTCCGCCCGGATTTGGTACCTTTATCAGGCGTCAGGTTTATCAAACGGTGGGGAACTGACTATATGAAGAAACTGAAAGGGTAGGAAAATCGGAATTTAAGCATGTGAAAGGGCCTTTAAAGGGCCTTATCTTCCATAGCGACGAGCCTTAAACGTTACACAAGGAGCCCATGGTAAAACGAAAATAACAAGAAGACTCCCATGTTAAAGGGGTACCATTTTTCAGTGGAAGGTATACGAAAGAGGTACCTCTTTGTATATTATGAGTGATGAATTTTACCTCGGGGAGGAGCCATCCCGTACAAAACCGTAATGTCCAAAATCTGGACTAAACCGATTATAAAACCGTGCTTGCGATTGGCTCGGCGCTATCTAAGTAAGAGGGTTCCAGAGGCTTTTAATTCTCGCGCTTGTCACTGCTGAAGATTTGACTGAAACTGAAAACCACGCATAAAAAGTCTCTGGCACCCATGGTAGCTACTCACCCGATTGAATTTAATAGCGAAAACAGTAGAGCCAAAAGAGGGCTTATACTGAAGATATTTCTCCTTTGAGCAGGAAGAGAGGGAGGAGGAGTCAAGTGATTTAGAGGACCCGGAGCAACCAGTGGAGATGGTGGAACCGCAGCAACCAAGGGAACCGGAGCAACCAGAGGAACCAGAAGTACCGCGGAATGTTGAAAATGCAGAAAATTGCACTCCATCAGACAATGGTAAAAACCAGCTAAATTCGTTAGTCTTACTGAATGTTTTGTTGAGCACAGAAATATTTATTTTTTGTAAATGCTTTTTGAGTCAAATTTGACCAATTTTTGTATTCCTCTGACAAATTTTGGAGGAAAAGAGGCCTTGCTGACCGAATCAGTGTCACTACCGCAGAAGCAAAAGCTTCCGAAAGTCGGCGGAATCTCGTACTGATATCGTCCAAACTATAACACATGAAGTCTCCATCTTTTTGCAGTGTTGCTTAGCCTCGGTGGCTGAGTGAAACAAGTTGATAATTCCTAGGGACCCTATAAAAGTTCAGAAAGAAAAATAAAATTTCGTCTTTGCATTTTCACGTCACAGTAGTGCAATAACGGCAAAGAGATGTACAGAAAAGTGCCAAGTACAGGCTGGATTCACCTTGCCACCGCGTCGTTGGATACCTCAAAGTCTCAATGTTTTCTGTGAATCAAGAGGAAGTGATGTAATAAAAGCGTTTTGACGAAGGCGTCATTTGGAAGTGCATGCTTTATAAAAAAGCAAACGGTCGTTTGCAGTGGTTTCTCTCCCTTCATAGCACAGCGTCAAGCCTACGTGGAGAAACTACTGCTCGCGGAGTAGTGTTGTCTCGATGGTCACCTTGAAAGCGTTACTGACATTTTGCCTCAAATGATTGCTTACAAAACTCGCTCGCGCGAACTTTGGCCCATCTCCACATCACACACGAAACAACTAGAATATCTTGAGAAAGTTCTAAGTTTTTTTTTTTCCAATACCTGTAAAAAGTATTAAAGGGAGGTATTTCAAAAGTGAAGATGATTCGTTGCACGAAATAACAAGTAAAATTGACTCGTACATCGAAAGAAAACTCTCACTTTCTCTAATATTTCGCCACCATTGTTTGCCATCTTATGCACAAGTCTTCTACCACTTCTTCTTCCTCATTGTGTCACTTAATGATTGGCAAAGATTGCTGCAAAAACGCGAAACACGGCAGATTTTCATGCCAACTCGAATCCGCTCGAGGATATTTCAAAGCCGCCATGTCGTGATGTTAGACCACGTTATGCTAATAGTTTCACGCATTTATAATTTCCAAAAGTTGAAATGCTCTGAACTGTAACTATCATCTGAACGAACGTAACTAATATTATTTTGAGTTTTAAGTTGTCCATTTTTTTGTGTCTTAGCTAGAACACGCCATACTATAATAAAAGGTGACCAAAAAAACAAACAAACAAACAAAGAAGGCCAATGGCTGATAGTGTGGCGTCCACCGTTTTAAAAACAACACCTACAACATCAGAGTTTTATCCTCGGTAATTTTTAACAAGGGCTAATTAATGGTTAAGAGGTCATTGATCATTGGATATTTAGAAAGGCTTATTTGCATTTCGTTGAACAGGAAAAAAACCATACTCTAACAAAACCAAGAAGATTGCAGCTGCTGCAGCCGTGGGGGTGGCTGCTACTGCTGTAGGTGTACTTGCCGCTCCAGTGATTGCTGGTGCTGCTTTGGGTGCGGCTGGATTCACTTCTGCTGGAGTAGCTGCTGGTTCTATTGCAGCAGGTGTACAGTCAGCTGTTTATGGTGGATCTGTAGCTGCCGGAGGTCTGTTTGCTCTTTGTCAGAGTGCAGGTGCCACCGGAGTTATTGGCTCAGCGGCGACTGCTGCCATCGGTGGTGGTACTGGATTAACTGGGATTGCTGCAACTCTGGGGAGTTTAAAATTATTTGTAAGGCTCGAAAGTTTGCATGATTAGTATGTTAACATTAATAGCGGACAGCAGAATTAAACACAAAGGTGCATTGGGCTGCTGCCCCGACGAATAGAACATGCATAGAGAGGAGCTTTAAAATTCATGCAATATCAGACAAAACAATACTAAAACTAAGAACGAGAATAATTTTGGGAATTTTCAGTTAGTGTAAGTTTGTCACGTTTTGAGTGTCATGTAATATTTTTGAAGGGTGCGGGGTTGGGTTGGGGGGTTTGGAGAGAGGGTGCATTCTGAAGATGTCCCAGTTAAAAATAATAGCTTTCTTTTCTCGTTCTGATAGGATAATTTGCCTTTTCATGTTTTCATTCATATTGGTGGGATTGATGTTTCCCGTTTTTCTTGTTTATATTTGAAACGACTAGCCTAATCGAATGATCGTCCCCATTTTATAAAGCAGAAGAACGTAACACGCAATGCCTTCTGGGGCGGTTATGCGTCCGCCATTTTGTCTTTTTTAGTTGGGGACGACTGCCACGGGCAGTCAAATAGAGTCCTTTAGATCCGACTACGAGTACGACTACCAGTACGAGTTTACTGTTTTTGAAGAGCTGCGCATGCGTCATGACCGTGACAACATCACGCAAGTGAACAAACTCGTTGTCCACTTTTCGTCGCCGACAACTTTTTTCTGAAAAGTGGTAGTGGGGACTACGAGATTTTGAAGGTACGTTTGTTTCTTTGGCCTAAGGTGAAAAGAGTTGGTTTGTTAAATGCACCTAGTGAAGCGGTGAAGAAAGTTTTAATTACAAACGTTTGTCACATTTGGCAACGGAAATGACAAACCTTTACAGACGCTCTTTACAGCTTACTTTAGCCAATGTAGCTTCCCCTTTCTAAGAAAAATACCTTGCATTCTATAAAGCCATATTAAATTATCGTACCGCGGTGAGGACGATGAACATGTGATCGGGAGAAAAAAATCTTGAATTACGCAAACGTGGTCGTTCTTTTTCTTCAGGCAGAATTGCTCTAAGATTTTCTGGACCTATAAGCTTATTTAAACGATTCGGTAATTTTCTTCCGAAAGATGAACTTTAAATTTTTATTCATAAAGGTTCTGGCGAATCCACCAGTTTTTAAACTCTTACGGGCTTCAAACGTAGTTTCTTTCAATTAAGGTGATATTTTAGTTATCAGAAGGTCGTTTTCATTTTTTCGCCTCTAGAGTTTACCTAAAGAAAATAATTTTTCACTGAGTTATTAAATAAGGTAATGCTCTTGAAACAAAACTTGAGCTATTTCTTATATTAAAGGTCATATAAGTTAAGCATAACTTATTGATTAAGGTGGCTCCGTCATTAATACAGGCGCATTTAACTGTTACGAAGTTTTCGTCCTAACGTTTTTGCTTTTAACGTGATGGCTGAGAAACTTTGCAAAGAACAACAGATATCATTCGGCAATAGTACGAAATATTCCGATTTCGTTGATGGCAAATATATTTTGCTAAATTAGCGCTCAAAAGGACCCTACTGTTCAAAGAAAATTGCGTCTAGTAAAAAACATTTGCTGATATTTTTTACTGAAATTTCTGGTATCGGCTTTAATTGATATAATATTAAAATATGCTAGAGGAATTTCAGAAAAATCGTTGGAGCAGAAGTCCGTGACTAAAAGTCGTCCAAATTTAGCTGTGAAATTGTTTTGGAATTTCAAGAATAAATTGCTCTCAGGTAGAAGGAGACACCAGTTTGAATTTTCGGGACAAGTGAATTCAAGTTTGCTAATTCTTAAAGCAAAAGCCGATTGCCTATCGTGCTATTCTTTAAAAGGTACTTTTTAGACCCTGTTTACATGGAGTGGGGGACCCCGGTCCAGGGTGAAAAGAAAATCATTTTTACAGCTTGCCATTCGGGCAAGCTGAAGCTAGCATTTACTAGCCCAGACGTCATTTCAACTAGCCCCAAAAACTTTTTGTTCTTCTGTTATTCAAATTCCTCATAAAACATCACTTGCCCGTCGGGCAAGTTAAAAACAGAATTCACTAGCCCGATAGCAAAATCCACTAGCCCCGGGCTATCGGACACTACTTTCTTTGCACGCTGCCGGTCTAGTGGGGTAGGTTTCTTTTGTTTTGTGTCCCCCAGAGCGTGAAAAGAAAAGAAACCAACCCCACTAGACCGGGGTCCCCCACTCCATGTAAACAGGCCCTTAGTTTTATAAGCACTATAAATTGCTCCAATTCTTGCTCTGAAGTAGAATGACTTGTTTCTTGACATTTTTGAAATATCCCTTGGAAGTTTTGGCTCAAACTCCTGCTACATGCATTTTGATGTATTGCAATGCATTTTCATTGTTTTTACTGCCGTTCGTTGCTTCCAACTCAGGAAAGAGGTATTGAGATTGGACGCTACCTCGTATCAGAGCTCAGATAGAACTGTTCAGTACCTTTGTTTATGACTATAAAATGAGCACGATTGGCAGTTCTGCAAAGAATTTCGCACCTCACCCAGGGGGGACGATCGACAATGATGCCCATACCTGTGAACCGAATCACATCCCAGTGCAAAATAAAATTATCGCAAAAATACTGCCCGTGAATAAATTTACAACTCTGAAATTTTTGTCACTCCTTCCTTCAATGAATGGGTGGTTTTTTTCTTGATTATCATGTTTTGCTCTGCAATACATGTTTATACAGATCGGTTCGCAGAGATGGGCATCATTGCCGTTCATCCCCCCTGGCTGAGGTGCGAATTCCTCGCAGAGCTGCCGCTCGTGCTCATTTTCTTGCCATAAACAAAGGTGCTGGACAGTTCTATCTGAGCTTCGATACAAGGTAGCTTACAATCCGAATACCTATTTCCTGAATTGGAAGCAATGCAACGTACAGCAAGAAAAGCCGTTGAGGATGCATTACAATACATCAAAATGTATGTAGCAGGAGTTTGAACCAAAACTGCCAAGGGATATTATAAAAATGTCGAGGAAGAAGTCATTCGACTTCAGAGCAAGGTTTGGAGCAATTTATAGTGCTTCTAAAACTAAAGAGGGCCTTTTAAAGAATAGCACGATAGGCAATCGCCTTTTGTTTTCAGAATTGGCAAACATTGAATTCACTTGTCCCGAAAATTCGAACTGGTGGCTCCTTCTACCTGATAGTAATTTATTTTTAAAATTCTAAAACAATTTTACAGCTGAATTTTGAGCGACTTTTAGTTACGGACTTCTGCTCCAACGATTTTTCTGAAATTTTTTTGGCATATTTATTATATCAATGAAAGCCGATACCAGAAATTTCAGTAAAAAATATCAGCATTTTTTTCTAGACGCGATTTTCTTTGAACAGTAGGGTCCTTTAAAGCGCTAATTTCTCAAGAAATATTTACCATCAATGAAATCGGAAAATTTCACATTATTACCGAATGACTTCTGGTGTTCTTCGCAAAGTTTCGCAGCCATCGCGTTAAAAACGAAAAAGCTATGACGGAAATTTATCACAGCTAAATGCTCTAGTATTAATTACAGAGCCACCTTAAGGCAAGCGATTAAAAATTTATAGACAACCTTATTTTTGTTTTTTTTTAATTTACCATCTAATTCGTACGGGAATGAAATAAATAAAACATTATTCCTTATAGCTTTCCAGTTACAGATGTCGTGATATTGTCATTTTATCCTTTCCTGTTGTTGACATTAATTAACAGTGATTTAGAGCATAAGTAAAACCTTTGTTATCGTTTATTTATTATTATTGTTATTTTTTTTTTTGATGATAGGTTACCAAAGATCTAAATTGCGCACATTCCTTGCTTTTTGGTATCACTGAAGTAAGAGTTAAAATCCACGGGTGGAGCTTCTTTTTATGGAAATCTATTCCAAACACCCTAAAAATTTTTAGCTATGTGTTTGTTAGTTGGAATAATTTGCATGTTTTGTTTTCTATGGAAACATCAACCTTAAATAACCTGTTTTTTCCTCACAACTGAGTTTGTGTTAAAGTAAAACATTTTTTTGCAAATAAGTATTCATCCCTTCATTTTCTGCTTTTATTTTTCAACTGATGAAAATAAGACGTGAATCTTCTTTAAAAACAAAATGATGCACTCTTGTGACCTTTCATCATTAATTTCTTTCTTTTTTTACCATCAGATATTTTTATTGCTATTTTGGGTAATGCCATGTAACTCAAAGGAAGTACCTAATAAATTGTTGTTGTTGTTGTTGTTGTTGTTTAGACCACCATGGCCAAAACGTGAAGTATTCATCTGGAAAAAATTTCATGAGACTCCTTTACTAAAAGAGGTTCTGTTGGAAGAACCGTATAAGTTTAATCCTGGAACAAAACAGAGAGGGACTGCTTGGTCTCATATACTAGACACCTTGAATAAACAGGAAATGAAGGTAACACAAAGGTCGGTGCGAGAAAAGTTCGACAAGCTCTATCAAGAGTTCAAAGAAAGGGGAAAAAATGAGATAATGGCTAGTGGTGCTGAAGTTGAATATGATGAAAATCATCGAAGCATTAACAGAAATTCATGAGAGGATGACATAATGTGAAGAGGTGCGACAAACAAAAGAAACTACTGAGAAAGTAACAGCAGTGGAAATGAGAAAGACAGCAACTGAAAAGTTGAGTGCTACCAATAGACGAAATAGAGATGCAGATGATGGTGATGAATCAGAAGAGGAATCACCAAAGAAGAAGCAAAGCCATACAAACTTACTGGAAATGATGCAGCAGAGTATAGCCATGAAGAAAACTGAACAGCAGGAGCACTGGAAAATTAGACAAAGAGAGCTTGATCTAAGGCCTCATCAGAATTACAACAACAGCAACAATTTCCAAAAAGTTGTTTTGCAACATCAGCAGCAATTTCAGCAGGAGCAACAAGCCATGAAAAATGCACCAAAATAATGCAAAATAATACAGCACATACATAAATGTAGCATTTAACAATACAATTTTGTTGGAGAATTTTTGATATGTACGTATGCATGGTACCAACATTTTATAATGATGGTATTTCCACAAATAGTTTTAGAAACCATGATGGCTGTATCATTTACTATGCCTTTTTTATCATATCACAGTTAACTTTTAATGTTTATCATCTTTGAAAATATTTAATGGTTTGACTCATTATACCAAACTAAGGGAGCAAAGAGATTACAGTCAAACCTGTAATGGCCTTGTAATGGCCTTGTGTCTAACGGTCACCCTGTATATTACAGTCAGATGACATTTTTCAAAATTATGTTGCCTTATATTTTCAATAAAGTTTACCTGTACATGTATATAGTTACTGTAGTCATCTGTATATAATGGGGGCGGTCACCCTTTTGACTTTTGGTCACCAAATTTTATTACAATCAAATGTTTGGCGAATAATAACAAACTTTCGTTAAAAATTTATTACATTGTCGTTGACTGCTTTTCTCAAATAGTTCACCGATCACTGATTTATTATCTCAAGTACTTCACTAATCTGAACATTAGACCTTTGCAAATCATGTTTTTGTTTCTTAAAACTGAAAGTATTCGTGGATACTAGGTGGCGGCAAATCAAAATATGCACTGGTGCTGGAGACATAAAAACAGGTTAGAACATTTCTTAACAGACCACAAACAGAATACATAGTGCCAACTGCACTAACGGCCAATTTTGAGGTTCTTTTTAAAGTCCAAACAAGCAAAACAAGATTTGATATCACCGAAAACCCATTCTACGGAAGACCTGACTTTGCTCATGGATAAGTTAAAATCTTCTTGATCTGTGAGGTGTCCTGTTCTGAAAGGAGCTTGGGGATGGACTCTCAAAGGGTAGGCAGGAGCTCCATATATACATAGTGGATTTCCTGCCTGATCAAAAGAGTGCTGTTCCAGCTGGTCCAAGAGTCCTGACAACCTTAACATGGCTGCATCATGTCTTTCCCTTCTGTAAAAAATCAAAATAGTTCACAGTTAAGTACGGATCTACCACTCAAAATCAAAGTATGGATCAGACACCCACCTCAAATCGATTGAGGCTTATAGTTTCTGGCCAAGATCGACATACCATACAGAAAAAAACAAGCAAGGCCAAGAAGTTTTTTATAATAACTTAAAAAAAGATTTCCACCTTACATGTACAAAAAAAAAAATGTTGCATCTCTTAAGATCCCCCCAACACTTATCTAATGGTCTATCCCTAAAAAAATGGTCGATTTGTTGATCACCCCGCATTTTATTGAGCCAAATTGACTGTGACTTACTATGCATGATTTTTGACTCGTTGTGGCTAAAAAAATTAAAACTGGAGATAGAAAGCTACTTTCATCAAAGTTTTGAATTCCATTTTCAATAATCTCTATCTCAAATAAAATCAATTTACTTTTGCGTTTCCTCAGTGGTCCGCATTGAGCATGACGATACACATATTCTTGAATATCAAACTAAAAAAACCCTAATGCAAATAAAATAAAGTGAAATAAAATAAAATATGGCTGTTGCTTCCCTACGTGTACGGAAAGTATTTTTGGAATAGGATGGCATTGTTGATCAGAAAGTGGGTCGTGGCATTGATCACGAAATCAAGCCAATCGACTCACCTATCGGACCAAAAAAATTAGCGATCATACCATTGGGAGGCACAACAGACTGAAACTTCAAACAGTGAACTCTTTTATGACCATTGTACACTACACGTAGGTTCTCTCCGGGCCGGCAGATTGGTCTTATGGTACCATCGACAAAGCCCCAACAGTTGTCTAGGGCTGCGCCTTTCTGGTGGATTGCCCGGGCAACCTCCTCCAGGTTGATTCGGCTGCAACCAAGGCTGATTGAGATCTTGAAGAAGATGACCTTGAGTACTGACAACATGGTCGTTTACTTCTGCTAAAATTAGGCTCATTTCGGGAACTGAGCGACCCAAACGAGCAACCATGTCACTCAGCCGGCAATCTCTTTAGGAGCATCAGAAGCCCTTCCTCTCGAGAAGCTTTGTATTCTTAGAGCCTGGCTAAGAAGTTCTATTTCGTACGGAGCAAACCTAAACTCAGCTTTCACTTCAGCATCTAAGAGGGGGTCTTTGAGCCGTACTTCAATTTTATCAAATTTCCAATACGGAAACGGCGGATTCTTCGTGGTTAAGTCGTTAAAAATCCTTAGCACTTGCTCCTCGTCCATCACGACGTCCAGATAAAGCACCATAGATGCTCCTAATCAATTTTTCTTCGAAAACATTGCGAAAAAATTAGTAGCACGAAAACAGCCTCTGCGCGGCCACAACTCGTACTCCTAGTCGGATATAAAGGTCTCTAATAGCAAGTGGAGTTGACGGAATACGACCTATTCGATTCTAAATTCAACAGCACAAAATGTGTTGACAACATTTGAAACTAATCGAATTCCAAAACAGCAACTAAGGAAATAAAGTACTTCATAAAAGGAACTTTGAATGACTTTTTGTTATAAACGAAAAGAGAACCGTAAATACCGCTGTTTAGTTTCCTCACACCGTATTGGCGTTTTTCTTGCAACGTAGTAACATTCCAGAAATATTTCTGGTGTTCAGGTTTCTGATCGTGAGTTTCACAGTCTGAAAAGTTAGTGATGCGCATAAAATGAACATATAATCTCTATTTACAAGCTGTTTATCTCTTTTCAAAATCTTCAGTTAACCTGATGTATTCAAACGATAATATGTACGTCAAATCGAAATTTAAGGACGTTAATTGAAATAATTGAAACCAAGAAGCTCTATAATTAGTCAGTTTTAAAGCTTGCAGTGCCTTTACTCTAGAGCATAGTGATGATGATGATGATGATGACTACGAATGTAATGAAAAAGGAAAATACTATTTAAATTTGCTGTCCAAATACTTTCATAGGTTTGAACCTTTTTTGTCACTGATAGAATAATAAAAGAACGTTTTTTTCCCTGACAACGGATATTATTAATAATGCACAGCAGATACAGAATAACTTCGGTCATGAATCAAATGTGCAAAAACACACCAATTAAACATATACATGTACTCATTTAATTTATAGGGAAGGAAATCAGACACCATAAAGTTGGTGATTTGTGGCAGCGGAGATGGAGCCCATGTGTTTGCTGGTATCGCATCTTCTCTTAAAGAAGTTGACGTTCGAGTTCTTGCTTTGCATAAAGATGAAGCAAAGCGCTGGAATACTGCACTGCAGCAAAAGGAACTTGTGGTTACATTTCGTTGTGAAGGGGAGAATACCTCCAGTATTGTATCCAGACCAGCTCTGGTGACAAACAACCCAGAAGACGCTATGCGAGATGCTCAGATGCTGATATTTATGATGCCTGCGGCCTGTCATCAAGTTTATTTAGAGGCTTTAGCACCGCACGTTCAACCTGGCACCATTATAGTTGGTTTACCGGGGAACCCTGAGTTTGACTCCCAAGTTCGTCACGTGCTCGGAGAAAAAGCGCAGCAATGCACCATCATGAATTTTGAGTCATCACCTTGGACGTGTCGTACCACTGAATTTGGAGTTAAATGTGAGGTGACTGGAATCATGGACACACTGCTGGGGAATGTCAAGGTAGGCCTAGTGTCGCTTAACGAGAACAGACTATTACCTCGTGGATTATTTTATTTTATTTTATTAGCTTCGCCAAAAACAAACAAACAAACAAACAGACAAATAGAAAGAACGTTGACAGGGACACCGCAACAGCTGTGGCCAGTTACAGCGGGCCCTTTATATCACATAAAGTTAACATAAATGACATATTGTAACTCAAACTACCCTATTAGCACGGAAAGAGATTTTTCGTCTGCCTTTTTTTTTACGTGTTACGTTTTTACGCATATGAGGGCAGCGCGGACAATCGGTCGTCGCGTCAAGCTGGTCATACGGTGACTCCTGGGCTCGAGCTACCGCTCCTACCACTAGTTGCTTGATTTATTTCTCGTTCTTCCCGAGTCGAAACCGTGGAGCGAGGTAACTCGTACCATGAAGACACTGCAAGGGATCTTCAAGGTCAAGCAAGTGACGCTGAAGGAGATCTAACCACTGACTTTCATAATCCTATTCAGTCCGCCGGGGCGTTTTCTTTGAAGTCAATTAACTTTGAAGTCGTTTAAGCTATGACCGCCAAAAGTTAACAACTTTCTAAGACTTTCTCTGGGAACATTTTAAAGTCGTCGCGTCGGGAACATCAACATTGACGTTACCATAGCAACTGAACTTTGACAGCTATGTTATGGAAAATTTGCTCTTTTCTGTAAAAAACGATTCCATTTCGATTCTGACCTATTTAATGATTATATAACACCTAATTAGGCATTATTACAATATTAAATGTAGTAAAGCTGTTAAATGTAATCCAAAATAGTGTCGCTTAATTTTAATCGTCGCTAAATTAAAGTGAGTACAATGTGAAATTTCACCATCCGCGTATAACTTTATGAGAAGAGCCTTAAGATATGACATTACAGTTAGAGCAGTAATAATAATAATTTACTCACTTCTATACACAGTTCGTTTATTTCTTTCAAAAGTAAGTTTCAGAACGTCGTGTGAAGCTATTAGCGTTATGTTCTAATGTAGTCGTAAACACTTTGAAAACCTTGGTTCACGGCCAAAGTTTAAGTTTATGAAATCGCGAAAATTTGTGAGTTATGTTTCAAAATGTACGAAAAATCGCTAACTTAACGTGTCGCCAAAATTTCATGAAAGGTAGCTCAAAAATAACAGGTCCAAAATGGCGGATGTTTTCAGTTCCTTCAATTTTCGTGTTTTTTTTTTTTTTACTTCTTTTGTCATAACATTGATTTGAGCTCTGACAGCGACCAGAAAACATTCAAAGGCCAGACCATCAACTACATTACCGGCCGGGGGCATAAAGAGAAAAAAAAAACAAGAACAAGAGCAGCGGTTTGAAGGGTAACTTCAACACAGTGAGGAAAACGCGTTCATTCCATATATTGTTAGACATGCATTAAAAACATGGGCACGAATATGTTCTAATTAGAGTTTGAAACTGAAAATGTTACAAATATGCACAGGACGAACATATTATGTATTTTTTGTGTGCATTTGACCAGGGAGGAAGCGTTGCTTCGAAGATGGACCCAGTTTGCAGCCTGCAGTGTCTCCTGGGATCCCCCCCTGTACTGAGAGTAACTGAGAGGATCTAATACGACTGTTTATGCCTTCCAAAAAGTACTACTTGTAAACTTTATTTAATACAAAGTGATTTGAAATCCTTGTAAACAACAGCAACAACGACAACAAGCAATAAAGTAACCCAAAAATATGTGCAGTTCACATCTATAGTTCAAACTTTACACATGTTACGCAATACGAACAATGAAATTTACTATTCTGTACAATTTAAAATTTGTCCAAATACTTCGATCGCAGAAATCAGATCGAAAGCGAATCAGCAGAACGAAATCATTTCAATCTATCTTGTATTGATAAACTTATTGAGACCGATGAGGTCGGAAGTTGCAACATACCTTCACAAAATAAACTTGGTATCAAGATCAAAATTTAAGACTTGAACTGAATTGCTTCCAACAGAGAAATGTTCATAAAATCAAATTAACGTTTACCAGTCAAGCAGTATTATTATTCTTATTACATCTACGCCCTATGGAAGGATACTAATGGTTATTTATTAAAAGATGTAGTTAATATGTTCATTTTGCCTTCTATTCTTCATCATTCCTCGCATAAGAAGTTCCTGCGGCAGCAGCTGAGAAGAGACCTGCAGCACCTTTCATGCCAATTACAGCAGCCCCTACGCTTTGGGCCAGTGCAAACGCACTACCTGAAGCCACATAGCCTCCATACACTGCGGACTGGGTTGTTGCTACTACTGAGCCTGCGGCAACTACTGCTGCGGTAAATCCCATTGCTGTCAAAGCAGCAGGCGCGGCTACTATGGTAAGAGCGCCAGCTGCTCCTGCCCAACAAACATCCGTCCAGCTCCATCTAGATGTAAATATAATTAAATAATTTCGATTAATAATTGCCCCCAAAAAAGGTGGTCAAGCCAATTTTGGGTGAAAATTGTTGGTTTTCACATGACGTCACTAAAATTCAAACTAAAAAACTATCGATCCTACCGAGATTTTACTCTCACGATGCATTAGAGCAGCTGAAAACTAATTTTCATACACATTTTTGCTTCAAAAGGGTTCTTGGTTTTGTAATAGAGTACGCTTGACTTTCTAAGCTCACAGGGACATCGATACTGTTGTTGTCTGCTTGACGAACAAATGAAATTTTCGTAAAGCATTAATACATGCATTTGGCTTACCGTGACTTGAACTGGAGACATGCTGGTAAGCAAAAGAGAAAAACAACAAATTGACCCCTTATTCAGCATTCTTTTCAGAACTTATGAAGCTTGGGTTAATATCTTACAGCCTCAAGAGCCTTTTGCTTTGAGTTTTTGCTCAGCACATAAAAACCCTTCACTAAATAGTGGCAAATGAAGCTTTGCAAGATGGCGGGATCTTATTGGCTAATTTCTTGGCAGGGCATTTGTGTATACCGTTCCAGATCTCCGGGAGTGCAAACCTCCGAATACAAATACAACCGTCTCCCCTTTCTCGTCGCCACAAGGGTCGACGTTTCGCAGAAGAGAGCGATTCGAGGAATAGGGATAGATTACTTTGTTCTCAGGCTAAAGCAGTGAAGAAAGAATTTATTTTAACTAATTAAATTGCGTTATAGGGGGTTTTCACTCACCTGGCCAGCTTCTGTGCTAGTTTATTGGAACAAAAGAAAGCGTTTACACATTTGACTTACATACATGCACGATGGATGGCCGCGAATACAAGAAAAATATGTCAATGGAAAACCTGACCTAAATAAACTTCGTGCTGTCCGCCTTTTCTCCTAAATCTATCGAGTTCTTAGATATAGAAAGGAAGGGACAAAAAAACTGTTTTAGGTGACTTTGAGGCAAATTAGAGACTGCTCGCAGTTTAGTGGACTGCGCGAACACTCTTCGGCGTTGGTTCGGAGAACCAAACTAATGCAACATCTGAGTTTGCTTAAAATATTACAGCGCTTTTATCTTATAAGCATTTGTCGGGCGTTTGTCATCTGGTCGGTCTCCGTGGTGGGCAATTTGTCAAAAAACCTCTGCCCGGGGGTGGGGCATTTGTCAATTCTTCTAGAAGAGGTTAAAATCGTTCATTTTTCAATCATATGTTCACTGAAAGATATGCCTATATTGATAGCTATAGATATTTGTACAACGAATATTTTTAATACATGTGCTTTAAAAGGATACGTGTGGTTTTCGCTCCATCATCACCCTTCTGAGAAGTTGCTTCCTGCAATCGTGTTCAGTTCGCACATCGAGGAAAAACAAGAATTGTTTAAAGAGTGTAAAGGAAAAGACACTTTCTTTTTGAGCGAATGGTTGAGGAAGAAAGGCCAAGAAGAACTCTACGATATATTTGAAAGCTAATACAAACTTCGTGTTCTCCTCTCTTTGTGTGATCAATGCGCAACGATTAAAACGTTGACGGAACGGTTCCATCGTGATGAGAAAATACTCGTCTTAAGACCGTCATGTTAAGCTCGTCGGCTGTTTGTTTATCTTTCACTATGTGAAGTGTATTATCAAAATTCTACCTTATAGTTTTGTCATTGATATTAATCAGATCGATATGATCTTTTTTGCAATAATTATAACTAGCGGCTAGGAGCGATTTGCGAAGGGTGCTTCACACGTTTTGATCAGATGACCACAGATTTCCTATAAATAAAGCATGCATTTACGGCTAATTTACAGGAAAGTGTAATTTTGTTGTTGTCCAGGGGTGGGGCACTTGCACACTTTTTTTAAAAGCCCCACCGTGGAGCATTTGCAGCTTTTCCAAAAGAAAATGACAAATGTCCGACAAATGCCCTGGGTGGGGTGGGGGGAGGGAATGGGCACGCACCAGTTAAATTTTGCAGGTGATAGCACGAATCGCCTTTGTTTACTGTAGAATCGAATATAAACTTAACAGATCAAACCATCACTCAATTTTTTGCAAATCTGGTAAAATTATCCGAAATATAATCCAATGTGAGGCGGGAAGAAACGTTGTCCGAAGAGCGACGTATTCGGAAAGGGAAACTTTGCAAGCGAGGCACGAAGTCACTTTGTTTTCGGGCTTGTTTCTACTGTTAACTTTGTTTATTCATTGTTTTTCCAACCAATCCCGTGAGGTCTTCCGAGAGGGGCTGGCAGCGAGGTCTGGAACCGAGTTTACATGATCGCTCCAGCTAAGAAATTTGGCCGAATGAGACTGAGTACCAATTTTCCTTCAAAACAAACATGGCGGTGAATGCAGACATGAAAGGACGATGAGTTTTTGCTCAGTTTTCAAGTTTTCCCGCGTCCAAACATTAAGGAACGGTTTTCATGAACTTTGTTAAAGGAATTTTTGGACGTCAGCAGGCATGATGTATGAACAGTTCATGGGTGACTTCACTTTTCGTGATTCGGCATCTCGGCAAGTTCAGTTATTTATAAGCTCCGTGAATTTTACGAGCGACCACTCTGCTCCATCTCTTATATTTTTCCGTTAACAGCGGTATTAAGACTCTCTATCCTAAACACATGCTACGAGCACACTGCTTTAGTATGAGTCTTGCAACAGTAATATGTAAATGTTCATTAAACCAATTTTCTAGTTCGCTGTTCGTAAGTTTGTTTGAACTCTGGGAGCCACAACAAATATTTATGGGCTTAAATACAGAATACAGGGCCAATTTAGTAAAAGCCAGGGTAAATGTTCCAATCACTTTGCTTCACATATACTAGGTCTGTCAGTATAAGATATTTTTAATATCAGAAGGCTGGAAGGGGTTAACTGAAACTTCAAAATCTTCACTGGAACATCACTGGAGTGATGATAAATATTTCCAACAGCAATACCGCATTTAGTAGTTTTGTATTAGATAGTGGCTTCGGTTTCAAGGTTTCGGTTTCGGTTTCCTTGAAATTTTTTATACAAAAATTACCCTTAGTTCTGAGTTGTACTTGAAATGATTATAACGGCTTAGTGTGGAGGCAAGAGGCTAATCCAGTCGCTAATAAGATTGAGTACATCAGAGAGGGGTATGCGTTGAGAAACTCCCTCAAAAGACTGAAGTACAAGAAACAGAAAAAAGAAAATTGAATGTTTTGCAAAGTTTATAAGAGAATCAAAAGGGGCTTGAAAAATGTACAACTTCAATTTTTTGTGTAAGTTATGAATCTGATTTACAACTAAAATAAACAAGGTAAAATTGACTTTTTTATCAACCATCAAAAGATGTTATTGTCTCTTGAGCCCAATCCCCTCAGCAGTTCTTTTTACGATACTACCCTTGGCTTATTTGGCCTAGATAGGTATCTGCGGCTGATTTAGGGTGGTGACCATTTCACCCTTTAGACTTTTGAACAGGGTGTCTGTTTGGGCTGTAAAGGTTGATGAAGAGCAGTCTATAGTTACATTTTTGGAACCACCATTTTTTCCCTAAGTTTTTTCCATGGTTCTAAGTTTAAAAGCTAGCTGAATTATGTATGCTAAATGAAATGAATCAGTTTATAAAATAAGGTCTCTTGGCTTAAAAAGGGTAGGGAAATGAACAATGTGTCCTACTACGCATACCAAACCCAGGCAGGTGATCTCAAATGTTAATACCCTTTTACCACTTGTTGTGACAACAAAGTCAGTGAAGGTTTATGGTCTCTAAGAAATGCCTTTGGCTGCCTCAACAATAGCTTTTAACTGTTACTGTTGACTACATATAATATTATCTTAATGATCATTTTACATTTTTTCCAAGGCATCCTATGGTGTTTTTCATATCCACTAGTACAAGGCAATTTTTAGGTTGAGAGGGTTTGATTTCATTAACTACATTTTTATACAGACACAAACTAACCTGGCACGTTGATGTCCAAAGATGTAAAAAATTACATGCAACTATATGGCAAAAACTAATCACAGTGGCCAAAGGAAAGGCAAAAATAGAAATGTCACCATTTTCCTGATTTTATAAATTTCCTTTGAAGCATATTTAGCCAGATGTGGTCCTTGTCAAAACATGCAAACTTGAACATTTATTTTCTGAACTTCGCTAATCTTTTTTAAACCATTATCTTGTTCTAAGGGGTAGTGTAGTTTTTGGAATTTATAATTTTTCCCTCTTTGTTGGCAACAAAACACACTTGAATGAGGACTCAAACTGAAGGCAGTGCAATTATTTAACTTCTGTCATGAAAAGAGAAATCCAAACACACAAAATAATTACCCTTTCATTAGTCTAAGCTTCATTTGTTGAAAACTACGGTAAAGTTTAAATTAAATCACAAGAAGATGAGAACTTAAGCATATCAACATGTGCAAAATCAAAAGAGAATGATATTTTGGCAAAATATATTTAGCTTCTAGTGCATAAAGAAATACGTGAACTACGAGACCATGCCACTCAATCATCCAACGCAACTCTGCCAGGCTAAGTTCACAATTAAGGATGAAGAATTAAGAATCTCAATCATCATTCTTGTCATCTTAAAGGTGTAATAAAACCGTAAACAACTCTGACAACTCTTCTACTCGACCACAGCCACCGCACTTTCTTTAATATCACAAAGAATTAATTTTGGGCCTTTCCCTTGAAAATATAAACTCTTCTACATACGTATTGGAGGGTTGGCCCTTATTTTTGTCTTGTGGGTCTTCTAAACAGAAACACAACTTGAGGGCCTGCATCTACAGATAAAGTGAGTCAAAAGGTCTGGCATCGAGGAACAATGTCTGTTTACCATCAATGTTCAGTGGTCTCGTTCTTAGCGTAGTAAACCGCATGTAATGACAAACGCAGGACCAGAAGAAAAGAAAACGTAAGCTCCACATTACCGCGGACAAAGAAAGCAGCAAAGAAAGCAATGACCAACGGGACCAAAAGCAAATTCATTTCACGATGTCGAATTGTTCCCACTTCGGTTAGCGCATGCTCGCTACAGTTCTCGAATGATTGACAGATTTCTTAACTGTGGCGATCATGGAAAGCCGAAAAACGGCAAGATCAAAGACCGTTGCCAGCCCCCGCTGATGTTGCTTAATTTTGTCGAAGAATAATATTTTCTCTAGGAAGCCACTTGTACAGTATAAAGGAGGGGGATGCTATTTAATAGGAAGCTTTATTTATCCATATTTTCTCTGTCATATTATTAAGCTTAGGTTATTCAGGTTTAATATTTAAAGGAAACTTACACTATTCTATGCAGTTAAAGGCAAACAGGGTTCATGCGCTTGCTAACCAAATGAAACTCGTAGAAAAGAAAACAAATGTACTATCGAAATTCATTGTACGTTTTCAGTGGCACGAAAATAACTCGATATTTTCAGTCTGTAAACAGTGTTTTCGGACTTGAAGAAATACAAGAAACACAACTGAGGCCTACCATTCATAATTTCTGTCTAAATTTCCTCTTTGAGGTTTTAACAGTAGCTGACAGTTTTTCACGTTTATGCACTATCGTGTTTTTTTTTTTTTTTTTTTTTTTTCATCGACAGCAGTTGACGGACTTAAAAGACACACTCAGCATTTGGTAAAATGGGATATATATGACAAAGCTAAAAACATAGTTTATGTGACAGATGCATGTATTAGTCTACTAATAAAAAGAATCAACTTCAGCCTCTTGCCACAGCCATATTTAGCCTTCATTTTGTCGATACACTTTTTCAAGAATCTAAGCGACGTCAGCTTTATCTTGATACGATCATAGGGAACCCACACTCTTATTTGTAAAGTGCAAATTTAAATCAAGTGAGAGATGAAAACTTAACCTGTTCTGTTCCTGAATTTGCTGCGGCGGAGCAAAGAGAAATGGAAGTTGTTCTACGATGCAGAAACGATGTTTGTGTCGGCGCTATATCCGTAAATTTCACAATGCCTTATTTTATGTGGTTTGTCTCGCATTTCACTGTTGGTTATTACGCCGTTGTTATTATCATCTCTCGTTTCATTGTTGGTTATTAACTTATGAATATTTTCTCTAATTTATGAATTTATTAATAATTTATTAGTTAATTACAGCACCGTTAATAAATAACCAACAGTCTGGAACCCACACTGTTAACCAAGAGTGGGTGCCCTTGGTACCATTGCATTTACTATAGTACACATGGGTATTTAGACGCATTAATCATAAGAAGAACATCGATGACATCGATACCAAGCTTTAGCCCTCATTACAACTACTAAAAAGCTGATCACTACAATTTTCTCGACGCAGTTAATTTTGCATACGAAAAAGAGAGAAAGAAGAAAGAAAGAAAGAAAAGTGTAGGAGAAAACTTGGGGGAACAGCAATCCTCTGCAATGAACTCAACTGTTTCACTCTTCAAACTGTTTTAATGTTGGTTCACTCACTCTGCTAACACAACTTTTCACAATCAAGGCTAGTATAATATCTCTCTGACAAGAGGTACTTGCAGCTTCTTTTATCCTGACTGAACTTGAAGGCTTCCAATCTTACTCAAACTTTAAATAATCTTACATCAGTAAAAATTCGATTGGCTATAAGAATTATAAAGTTAACACATTTTCCTTCGAGATTGTGTCATAATAGGAAAATCAGCCAAAACTCCAACATTCACTTATGTCCAACAAATGTCAAGTCAAAACAAAACAGTCAGAGAGACTCAAAAATTACAAAAAATGCTTACGTGAATGAAAATCATATATGTACAATATCGTTACTCTAAAATGTACAATTTGTCAATTCGCGTAAAGTGCTAAAGTTGTCGTTTAAAAGCTTCTTGTTGGAATATCGTACAATATAATCATAATTAATCCGCCTTTTTCCATAAAGTAACTCAAAAGTTGTTTACAACTCTCCAGTCGTAATCAATTAGCAAGGAATGTACATTACAAAAACCTTTGAACAAAATATATTTCTAATTTGAACTTATAGCAAATAGATTGAACTAGGCAATAGAAAAAGCTTGTTTATCATGATTTTCTTTGAAAGCGCACGAACGTTTGGATATCAAACCACTAAAAACGCGAAAGATGGCAGGAATAGGAATGTCCAGGAAAAGACAACTTACAGGCCGATACACACGAGGGGTTTTGCTCCCGGAGCATGCTCCAGGCTCATTTTGTACTTGTCAGTACACCCAGACAGACAGACAGACAGACACACACACACCCACCGATACACAGGTAGACAGGTAGACATGCACAGAAGGCAAAACGTCTGAGTAAGAGCTAGACCAGCAAACGGATAGACAGTCAGAAAAAAAAAAGCGTAAAAGACTGTAATATAAGTTTCTAGATAGGCAGACAGACACAATCACTTTTTTTTACTCATACATTCACTGGATGACTTTCAGGGTGCGACCTCTCAAGGGAGTTATAGTGTTTAAAAGAAACTATGTACAAAGAGTTCCATAAGAAGCCTCCGATATATGATCCACATGAATTTGAAGCACTCTGCACTAGGGCTGGAGCCAATACTATATTTAATTCTATTTTGTCGCAATGATCGATGAGAGACATTCAACAGAGCGAATTGCCTTAAATAGAAAAAGGACTGTAACAATCCTCTACAAGCTATGTTATGGCCTCAGCCAAGTGTGTAACTGGCTGCAGACTGACCATTCTATGTATTTGAGGCTGTCCAATATTAACATGGAAGGTCTGCAGACAGAGCAAGTAATGGGAGGAGCTTGTAGTAGGAGTAAAGTGTACAGCCTTATGAACACAATGAGCCAGAATGCAGGCAAAAAAATTGACGACGTGGTGGCAGAAGCTATTATAAACAAGTGGCAACTGGTATTAATTGTAGATGACTACACAACCATTCCCTCAATAAGACGACAACAAGACCAGGAACTCACTAATGCCAATTTCTTTTGTACTATCATCATCAAAGTTTTCAAAAATGTTCCAGCCATACCTGCCTGTCATGTCTCAATTTATCATAATCCTTCTGGTCTCAATGTTACTTCCTGTATAAACACAGTCTCTGGGCCATCTACTATGCATAAATTAACTCTAACATATTCATCCCTGATGCCTCCTTGGATAACTGACACCTTTTTCAATCCCGAATTTGAAAGACACAGGGTAACTCCTCATGAATACTGCCACCATGAGTCTGTTCAGACTATGAAGACAAATGGACAATGTACATCTTGTTAACTTTTTCCAATTAACACTTAAAAGCAAAAACGACTTTGATGCTGCATTTGACCTTGTACTGAGTACCAGACTTCCTGAATATCTCAAGTTATTTCTTATTCCTCAACCTGGTGACTGGCCTGCTCAGTTCTACTCCAGAAAAGTCATTTACGAAACCATTCAGAAATTTTGCTGCCCATCTGATGTCTTTGATAATCCTCAAGAGTGCCAGGTACAGATCATTCATATGCAAGAGTCTGCTCTTCTGGACCTATACGACAACAAATGAACGTTAGTACATCTGGGTAACCAGGAATTCTTTCCATAATTCCGTGTATTGGACCCCTTCACATCTCCTTAAATGGAAGAGAAACTGTGTTTCATGATTATCGGCAATTTTTTAAGACTGTCTGTAATAATCTCTTTCCAAAAAGCAAATTGGCAAAGAATCCTAGGCCCTGGAGAATCAGTCTGATACTTGAAGTGGTCTACTGTGGATGAATTTTTATCAGGGACAGTGTTAAGAGCAAATTTTGTTTTTGCAAGGACTTGGAATGCAGAACTCTTTTGAATTTGATCGACAATTATCTACCACTTGTGCTTTCCATCTACAGTGTTACTTACAAACTAAATAGCTTTCAAGAGTATCTGAATGCAATGATCAGGATATGGGTGATGTTTGTTTGTCTTGAGAGGCATCATTACAATAAGGCCCCACTAGGTCGGCTTTCTATGCGCTCTTACTGGGGCATGCACCATCCTGCCCTATATAAACTGCTTCTGACAAATTTGGTTATCTTTAATGAGTATCCAGTAGAAAACACTCATAGTATCATACGTTCTAAAACCAACACCCATGACACAGCTGAACATTATACAGAAGAAAGCCAAAGTTGTGTTCCAGTCAAAAATGGAACAGCAGCACTTTAAAAAAACACTTCACCCAACCCAAGAAACCGCAGTGGTCACTTAATAACCTCAAAAGACTGAAGGCCAAACGTACGAACATCCTTGCAAACATATTTACAGGAATAGCCAAGAACCCAGGGAAAGCAAAAATCTCTACTCAAGGCAAAACTACAAAAGTGTTGTTGCCTAAGATATTCGGAGATGAGCCTGTCAAGATTAAAGTCTTACCTCTAGTATACTGCACCAGCACCATTCCAGACCAAAGCAGACGATGTGATTTACCAGGGTGCAACATAAATGAAGATCTGTCTTGGAAAATATTTGAGGGCTGTTCACATTTTTTCCATCATTCCTGCCTGGGCGAAATACAGTTTTGTCCCTTCTGTCAAGCCTTCCTTGCAAAAAAAGCAGAGAGTCTTTCGAAAACTGCCAAGGAAGCTATTCTAAACCCTAAAGAAAAAGAAAGTGTAAATGAACAATTCTAGAACCTACCAGTAGATGACAGTGAACTAGAGGGAACTTAGGCACTGCATTGCCTAGTGGAGATGCGGATGAAAAAGTAAAACATGTGAATAAAGACATAATGCCACTACCAACACCACCATCCCCACCATTAAACCAAGTATCAAGCTCACCAAGCCAACCAAGTCAAGTTCATCCATCGTACATCCAGCCACCTGCCTCAGCAAGCACAGCACCCAAGAGACAACAACTATGCAAATGATGTGGTCACCCAAGAAAGGGACACACATATCCAAAGAGTAAAGCAGTCAGATGCCACAGATGCAGTAATGGTGTGTGTGCGACACATGATACATGTACATCGACTCAAAAACATTCAACCGCTATGCAACCAACACTCCATTATGGACACAATGCTGAATACATCTTACCTTATCATCTTTCCCAAGCAAAAATTTTTGGTTTTCCAATTGGGAGCAATGTATGTACTGTCATTGCAGCCATTGGGGCTATGAAATTTCTCCATGGTGAACTCCCAATGCCCTCTCCTCAAGGAATTATGAACACCATTGCATCATTTGCCAACACCATGTGGGACGGAAATATCCATTACAACTCCTTGGCCATGCCTTCTCATCAGCCTAATCTGGATGCCAGGGAGGCCCTGCAGACAAGACAAGATAACTTTGGACTAACAATTACACGGGACATTGGGATTGTTTCTCCAGCCTCTCTCTCAAATGAGCTCAATCACATATGCAGAAGTGAAGAAAATCTATGTGCAATACTAATAACACCTTCCGAAAAGTCCATGTTGCTTTGCTTTAGCAATGAACAAAACACAGTAGCACTTTTTGACAGCCATCAAAATGGTAGGTATGGTGGACTTATTGCAGTGGCAACTTACGTACAAGTTGATAATTTTGTTTCGTTTCTGAGCTATATGTGTGCCCGTGATTGGGGCAGTGGTATTCCTGGGGCAAATTTAGCAGTGCTGACAAAACGCTTATAAATTGCTTTGCAGGTATCTTGCTGTGTTTGAGGGTAACGCATTAAAAGTCTAGAAAGAGTCATAACAAGGACATGATAAGATTGCTTTAGCATCACTGTTGAACAGTTAGATAACTATTTAGTAAAGCAATTCTAGACAGTAGGACTATACCTATTTGTTGATTGATAGTATATTGTAGTGTACATAAAGTATGTTTCTAGTTCCCATGATCCTTCACTTCGAACCATGTGCTCTCGTAATGGCGGTTCACGAATAAACCCATGTTGTTGTTTTCTACTCTTGTCGTGTTCCTCGTTCTCCACTCTAACAAATCAACATGGTGGCAGCCTCGGGATTTAGTTAATGAAATGACGGCTACAGAAACCGGACAGTTTAGACTTCCTCCCCAACTAGATGTGAATTCGGGAAATGTGTCCGAGAAATTCAAACGGTTGAAACGGCAAGTGGAAGTATACTTAGCAGCTTCTGGAGCTTCAGAGAAGAACGATAAAGTACAAACTGCTATCATTTTAAACTGTGCAGGCCCTCATGTTCTCGAGGTGTACGATACTTTTATTTGGACAGATGATGACGATAGAGATAAACCTGATAAAGTTTTAGAAGCATTGAAAAGATACTGCAACCCGCGTGACAATGAAGTCATCGAATCTCATAGATTCTAGAACATTCCGTACCAGGAACCGTTCGACAAATTTCTCACGGAGTTAAAAACGAGAGCAGCCACGTGCAATTTTCTGGAAAAAGATCGGATGTTGAGAGACAAAATAGTTTTTACTGTGACTGGAAAACTTCAAGAATTAATCCTCAGGGAAGACAATTTGACACTCGACAAAGCAGTAAAAATTTGTAGGACTTTCGAACAGCCAAACAGACAAGTGAAAGAATTCAGAGAAAGTACAACCCTCCCAAGTTCTTCTACAAGTGTGAACAAAATAACTCAAAACTCTGAAACTAAAACGCCCGGTGGTAAGAAAGGTTCCCAAATGAACAAAACCTTACACAAAGGGAGAGAAAAGTTAAAATTCAACTGCAAATTTTGTGGATACAAACATGAGAAACAAAGAGACAAATGTCCTGCTTGGGGCAAGACATGTGACAACTGCAAAGGTCTTAACCAATTCAAGTCTAATTGCAAAAATATTCATGCACTTAACCAATCTAATGATAATGAGGAAGATTCTGATGATCAATGGCTCATGGCTGTAAGCAATGAGACAAACAGTGTTACTGCCACACTTACTTTAAATGATATTGATGTCAAATTCCAACTTGACACTGCAGCTGATGTAGATACCATCTGTCAGAGGCATGTAAGACAACACCAAGCGTCTCCTACAACTGTTCGCCTTAACGTGTGGAATAAAACTAACCTGAAACCTCTGGGAGAAACGCGCCTGAAAGTTAAAAATCCTCGCACTAGTTCTGAATCAGAAATAAAGTTTATCGTGGTCCCAAATGGTTTTACAAACCTGTTAGGTCTGAACACTATTCAGGAACTTGGTTTTATAACCATAAATAAAGAATGTTTCATGTCACAAGTATCAACTCCACAACTTGGTAATCTGGGTGAAGCCACCCTCAGAATTGATGAAAAAGTTCCTCCCAAAGTACTGCCTTGTAGGAAAGTTCCTATTGCTATTCAAGACGCACGCAAGAAAGAACTAGATCGACTCGTAAACAAAGGCGTACTTGTTCCAGTGACCGAACCAACTGAATGGGTCAGTCAAGTACATAAACCCAATGGTAAATTGCGCATTTGTATTGATCCTCAACCCCTAAATGCTGCACTCAAGCGTGAACATTACCGATTACCTGTGCTTGATGATGTGCTTCCTGAGCTTAAAGATGCGAAGATCTTTAGCAAACTAGATGTAAAAGAAGCGTATTGGCATGTTCGACTTGATGAAGCATCCAGCAAACTCACCACAATGATTACACCTTTTGGTCGCTACACGTGGAAGAGGCTACCCTTTGGCCTCAAAGTGTCAAGTGAAATTTTCCAGCGCAAGATTGATGAAGCGCTAGGTGATCTCCATGGTGTATTCAATATGGTGGATGATGTAGTCATTGTAGGCTGTGGCAACTCAGATGCTGAAGCTCAGAGTGACAACCACCAAAAACTAGCAGTGACATTGAAAGGGTGTGCTGAGAAGAACATTATCCTAAATGAGGATAAGCAGGAAACTGGTCTGGATGAGATCATATTTCATGGACACAGAATCACGAAAGACGGTGTGAAAGTTGATGAAGCTAAAGTGCAAGCTATCCGAGACATGCCAGCACCCACTGATGTGGAAGGTGTGAAGCGCCTCTGTGGCATGTCTCAGTACATGGCAGAGTTCTGACCCAGCCTTGCAGCAACACTTGAACCAATCCGTGCTCTAAGTAGAAAGGACGCCCCATTTGTATGGTCGAAAGAATGTGAAGACGCTTTCAACACGCTCAAGAAAAATCTGTCTGAGTCTCCATGCTTAGCTTACTTTGACTCCCCGAAAGAAGTAGTAATTCAAGCAGACAGTACCAAACATGGAATTTGTGCTGTGCTACTCCAGGAAGGGCGTCCTATTGAGTATGCATCTAGAGCATTGACCCCTTCAGAACGGAATTGGGCACAGATAGAGAAAGAAGCCTTGGCTGT